CAGGCTAGCGAACAGAGCATCCTCGCTGACCTGAGTGGGCTTGACACCTGGGTGGAAGAAAGACTCGGAGTGAAGAGCGGCTTCTTGCGAGGCCTCCTTCGCGCTTTCATCCTTCTCGGCCTTGACGGAGCCCTTGCAGTTCACAATCCAGGTGCCGGCAGCGGTCAGAGAAGAGAGGAGGAACTCGTACCAGCCAGCCTCCTTGTCGGAGGGACGAAGCTGAAGCTGAGTTTCGACACCCGCAGAGGAGTCCGAGATAGCGAGAGCGTTGGTGATCTCAATGTCACGCAGCTGGAACGCAGTGATGGTGTCTGCAGGTCCATCGAGGAGACGGGTAGCCTCAATCGCCATCGCAATGTAGCCTGCACCAGGAAGAACGACAGAGCCGTCAATCTGGTGGTCGATGAGCCAAGAGACATCAGAGAGACGCAGGAAGTTCCGCCAGGTCGGGGTCAGGCCGTTGTCACCAGGAAGCAGACTGCCAAGCAGCTCGTGGGGAGCGAATCTCTTGTGGCGGATCTCCTTGTTCACGCGAGGCTCGGTCCAGTAGCGGGTCGAGTGGTTCCAGGCGTAAGTGGGCAAGTCGTGGACGAAGTGGTGCTTCTCGCCAAGAGGAGAGTTAACAGCCTCGATGGACACAGGGTATCCCTTGCTCAGAAGCTCGCAGGCAACGTTCTGCATGGTCTCAACGGCATTGATGCCTCTCTGCAAACAGGAGACGTAGGGGATCTCCTCGCGGGGCTTGAGGATCTGGCGGATAGGACCGGCAAGAGTGCTGTGGGCACCAAGCTCGACGATCATATCGACCTCGCGCTTTCCATCCTCGTTGAAGCACATGGCGTCGAAGGACTGACTGAAGAGAACCGCGTTGGTCAGGTTGTCGGCCCAGTGCTTGGGACCCAGAGTCTCGGCGGAGGTGACGACCTTTCCAGTGACTGGGGATGCGAAGCGAACCTTGTTGACCCAGTCACCGTCCTTGGGCTGAGCGGCAAGCAGCTTGGTAAGGCTATCAGTGTACTCCTGCGCGAAGCAAAGCATGTGGTGCGAGTGGTAAGCAAGCGGAACCTTGAGTCTTCTCGCGAAGATACCATCGGCTTGTAGACGAGCTTCTACCTGTTCGAGGGCAGGAAGATCTCCGGAGAGGGTGACACTGCCGGGAGAGTTGACACAAGCCACGACGACACGGCCATTGTCGGTGTCGGCGATGTACTTCGCGGCTTCTTCCTGACCCAGACCAGCGGCCATCATACCACCAGAAAGAGACTTGAGGGCTTCGTTGCGGAGAGCAAGCTCACCACGGTAGAAAGCAGCAGCAAGAGCCTCCGAGAATGTCAGGGCACCGACCGCATAAGCACCCGCAATTTCACCACTGGAGTGACTGGTGATGGCAGATGGCTCGACACCCCAAGATCTGAGCAAATCAATCAAACACAACTGGAGACCGACTGTGATAGGCTGGCTCAGGTTGACCTCAGAGACGCGGGTGGTCTTTGCGTCGCGCAGAAGTTCCTCGTGCAGAGACCAGGTCGCGCCATGACCCTTGAGGATCTTGTCAGCCTTGTGAACACTTTCAGCAAAGATGGGGTAAGCTCCAATCAGCTCGCGGCCCATAGCGTGCCACTGAGCACCCTGACCGTTGAAGACAAATCCGAGACGAGGCTTCTTGGTGGCATGAGACATCTTGATGGTAGGTTCCTTCAAGCGTTCAGCCAGTTCAGTGACGGAGCTAGCGCTCACAGCCGACATCCAGGGGAGTCTGGACCGGCGCTCAGCCAGAGTGTAAGCCAAATCTCCGAGAGCACTGTCATCAAGATGCTCGGGAGCCCACTCCGCGAGGTTTGCGAGCATAGCCTTCAGGGCAACCTTATCCTTTGCACTGACGATGTGGACGCGCGCTCTGGGGGCCTCCTCGATCTGGCGGCCACTGGCATCAAGGAACTGCTCAGGGGCTCCGTCGAGAATGACGTGGGCGTTGGTACCACCATATCCGAAGTTGTTGATCGAGGCACGCAGAGCCTTGTTCTGGGGCCAAGGGATAAGCGAGGTGGGGACCGTGAGGTTCCACTCCTGCTGGCGAATCTTAGGGTTGGGTGTCTCGTAGTTGATGTTCCGTGGGATCTGCTTGTGCTTCATGGCCCAGATGGTCTTGATCACAGCTGCAAGACCACTGACAGGCTCAGTGTGACCAATGTTCGTCTTCACAGAGCCGATGTAGACAGGGTCGTTAGGTTGACGGCTCTTTCCGAAGGTCTGAGCCAAGGCAGTGGCCTCAGCAAGATCACCGGTGGGGGTACCCGTCATGTGGGCCTCAACGTAACCAGTGTCGGCAATGTCAAGGCCAGCCTTGCGGTAGCACTGTTGGATGAGCTTGACCTGCGAGTCGATCGAAGGAGATGTGATGGTCTGGGTCTTTCCGTCTTGGTTCAATCCGGTCTCTCTGATGACAGCGTGAACGCGGTCGCCATCCCGGATAGCGGCGTCGAGAGACTTCAGCACAAGGGTGGCGACACCCTCTCCTCTTCCGTAGCCCTGGGCGCGAGCATCCCAGGCATAACACTTGCCCTCTTCACCGACCATGCTATTATTCTGTCAGTACTCTATCCAGGTATCATGAAGTGGAGGGTGGCATACCTCAACATAGACATAGCGATGTACAAGTCGGGGTTCAAGATGGTGGTACTGGCTCCAACGATGGACAGCTCGGACTCTCCAGACTGGATGCTACGGCAACCCTGGTGCAGAGCGACAAGACCAGCCGAGCAACCAGTGTCAATGGACATACTGGGACCCTGAAGATCGTAGAAGTGGGAGACACGGTTGGAAAGCATGGCGGTACCATTGCCCGTGAGGAAAGGAGCGGGCATAGCCTCAGGATCACGGCTGTGCAGATCGTGGTAATCTTTGCCGTAGCAGCCCGTGTACATGGATGTGTCGGTACCCGCAATCTTCTCCATGGGGATACCAGCATCCTCCATGGCTTCGTAGACCGACTCTAGCAACAAACGAAGCTGAGGGTCCATGGCACTAGCCACATCAGCGGGCAGGTTGAAGAAACCGGCATCGAAAAGGGCGACATCCTCGTCCATGAAGTGTCCACCAATGGCGTGGTTCTGTCTCGGAGGGTTAGCGCCGAATGCCTTTCTTCATGGGGATTGTGTCTCAAGGGTTACTCACGCGTCCGGCCCTGTCCTTGTCCGGGTGGTAGAAAGAGTTCACGTCGAAGCGGTCCTCGGGGATGCGCGACCAGGCACCCTCACCAGCGGCAAGCATCTTCCACAGATTCTCCGGGGTGCTGGCCGACCCAGCGAACTTGCCACTGACACCGACGATGGCAATGGGCTCGGAGGGGCGGGCACCTGCAGCTCTTCCGTTGGGAGCATGGCTAGCAGCAGGGATGGAATCGAAAGATCCGTTGGCCGACGAGTTGATAGTCATTTTGATTGGTGGTGGTGGTTGATGATTGTCGGGACTAATCTGCTGGAAATGGATTGTCTTAGGATGCTCTCTTCGGAGAGTGCAAGGGGGAAATGATTAGAGTATTAGAATTAGAATGCGATGATGATCGATGATGATTTTTTCATGGTAGATGGGCCAACTGCAATGGCATCTTTATAACCTGAGATTGTTGCAGGTGCCTCGAGGCTGACGGGATTCGCGGCTCCCAAGAGGCCCCGACAGAACGGCATCGTGTGTGCGAGTCGGAGTTGAGTTGAGTCGAGTCAAACCCAGGCTGAGTTGACTGACCATAGTGGATGAGGATGGCTCGATGGTGGAAGGATGAAGGATGGATGGCAAAGGTGCAGAAGGAAGGATTCAGATCCTTCGTGTCTTTGGTGTCAGACTATTCCACCGTGACGGACCGATAAGGAAGAACCCCGCCCCCTTCCGCTTCCTCTGCGCGGACTTCGGGGTTGATACGATAAGGAATTTCAACCCCGCTCGGGAGAGTCTGACCAAATCCTGAGTCCGACACAGGATCTAGCCCTGAACGTGGGGTGGAGGTGGCAAGGGGACGATGTTGAAGAGTCAAAGTGAAACAAAGCCGGTGTTGAAGAGTTGGACCATGCAGAGCCCCCTCTTTCCTCTTTCGACTTCCAAAAGTACATGGTCACGTGATGAATTATGCCGCCTGCACAATCCCTAGTGAAATTGACTACCTGAATAACTTTGTTTGCATAGCTGATTAGACACAAACAGCTTAGCGTAGCATTCAGCAGGGGTCTGAGATAGCTGAAGATATCCTGAAGAACGCGCCACTGTTTCTTGAATTCCGGTCGCCAGAACCCGTCCTTGCAAATTCACAGAACATCGTGACAAAATAGATTGGGCACTGAATTGAGCCTCACATATCAATCAGCTTTCAGTAGATGTACAAAAAGAGCATCTAGATTCATTTGCAAGCAAAGATTCCCAAACTACAAGAGTCGACACATGCTCAGTATGTATATATATACATATATATATTTTCAGATTAGTGGCCAAACCACACCTATATTTTCGCCCATGGCCCAAATAAAGTACACTTCACCAAGCAACCACACCATGTTGTGATCAATCTACAGCCAACAATCCCTACAACTCTACATCAATGTTACTCGAGCCAGCAGAAACTAATACATAATGATGAAAAATTGACATTAGCTCGTTTCGACCCAGAAGCTAGAGTGCATACCTTCTCTGGCCAGTTAATCTACAACTCAGCTATGTAACTCAAAACTTGCCAGAAACCCAATAATAATTGAATAGACATTTTCATTATGACAACCTGATTTATGAAGGCACTATCTATAGTTAGAGACAGGTCTGCAAGCCAGGTTCTAAATATTTTGGCCATCTCTCACTGAGTGAACATTCTGCCAAGTTGTATTCAGCCGACCCGGAAGCGTACAAGAGAAGATAGAAGCTACAAACTCGACCCGACCATAATCCTCAAAGAATAAGAATTGAATTGTTACACAAACATCTAATCTTCTTGAGTAAGAAACATAAACAACATAGGAGAGATCATTAGGCCCGGGGTAAAAAGAATCAGCAGGGGGCAAGTCCAAGACACAAAGTCAAAACAGATCATCATCGCAAACAATATCGAAACCATAAAGCAAGTAAGACCAAAATAGGTCAGGTCAAAGATGAACAAGAATCAAAGGTCAAACCAAAATAAGAATAGAAAAAAAAATCATCGCCAATCAGTGAGTATCGCAAACAATCTATAGCAGGGCCAAATTTCTTGGGGAAGGCTGTGGGTGGGAAAAAGAAAAGTCTATAAGCCTTCCTTCCATGGTTAGTAGTATACTTCTCCTCCATCTTTTCCATCAGAGAGATGGGCACTCTAAGCAGTGATCTCAGTCGCAGTGATCGTGACCTGGGCGTTCTCGCTCTTGACCTTGATCGGGGCCTGGTGGTGGTGGACCGGGGCGGCGATGTGGGCGGCGTTGGTGCTGCTGGCGGAGACGGTCTTGTTGGGCTCATCGGCCCACCAGACGTCGATGTTCTTGCGGTACCACTCGACGGTGGCGCGGAGTCCATCCTCGAAGTGGGTGTTCTGGCGCCAGCCCAGGCTCTCGAGCTTGGAGCCGTCGACGCGGTAGTCGAGGTCGTTGTGGGGACGGTCGGGGATCCAGACCAGGCGCTCCTTGAAGTCGGAGCGGGGGTCGAAGCCGAACAGCTCGAGCATGCGGATGGCAACCTCGAGGTTGGTCACACCGAAGGCCGAGCCGATGTTGTAGGCCTCGCCGTCGACACCCTTGTGGAGGATGGTGTCGAACCCGTCGGCAGCGTCGGCGCCGTACAGGTAGCGGCGCTTGTGGAGACCGTTGCCCTGGAGGGTGAGGGGCTGGTTCTTGGAGAGAAGCTTGAAGAAGCGGGGGATGATTTCTGCATGTGGGAGGTTAGCTATCTTATTGGGGCTACAGATTTGGTACCAACGGGGCTACTGACTCTCGGGGTACTGGCAAGGTCCGTAGACGTTGTTGCTGCGGACAATGACCATGGGGATGCCGAAGGACTTGGCGTAAGCGTGGACGTACATCTCGGCAGCGGCCTTGGAGGCAGAGTAGGGGTTGGTGGGCAGGAACTGCGTGGTCTCGTCGACGAAGTCGTCGGTGGTTTCACCGTAGACCTCATCTGTGCTGACATGGACGAAGCGAGCGACGCGGCCGTGCTCGCGGACGCAGTCCAGGAGAGTCTGGGTGCCGACCACGTTGTTGACAGTGAAGCTGGTAGGGTCAAGGAAGGAGTTCTGCACGTGGGAGTTGGCGGCAAAGTGCATCACACAGTCGATGTTGTATTTGGACAGGGTCTCGGCCACGATTTCACGGTCGGTCAAGTTGCCCTTGACGAAGTGGAAGTTGGGGAAGGACTCCAGGCAGTCGATGTTGGCCATCGAGGAGACATAGTCCAGACGGTCGAAGCAGATGATGTTGTACTCAGGGTACTGGACGGTCATGTGACGAGTGACCCAGCTGCCGATGAAGCCGGCACCACCGGTGATGAGGATGTTGTTGATGTCGCGACGAGGGGCGAACCGGGTAGTACCGACGAGCCGCTGGCTCTCCTCGTGGGTGGAGGGCTCGAAAGTAGTGGCAATAGCCTGCTTGACGAGCTCAACGGTCTCCGGGGGAGGGCTCTCGGGAGGGGTGAGCTGAGCGACCTTCAGAGACAATCCCTTGGCCTGCATTTTGATTGATGTGTGGAGTAAAGTGAAGGTAGAAGGTTGAAGATATTGCAAGAAGAATGAAGGAATGAAGGCTGTACTTAAAGTGAAAGCTGAAAGAAGAAGAAGAAGAAGGCGAATTGTTTTTCTGAGACTGAGGCTTTGTTGCTTGCCTTAGCTTGTTTTGCTGGATGATGATGAAGAGAAAGGCCAGGGTAGGGGCCGAATCCAGGCTGTTTTTATAACCAACAATGGCTTCATCTCTGATGCCGTTTTCCCAAGCAACGAAATAAGAGTGGGCTGAGTATGCTGAGTATGCTTCCAGCCTCAGGAAGGGATTCCTGTCGACTCTGCATGACTCCGAGTAGAACTGGAGGCGAATCTTCAGCGAATACCCCGCGGATAGACTAGGGCTCACGCTTAGGGCGACGCCACGTGCTGAGGGGCTCTTCTTGGTCTGGGCTGGGCTGGTCTGACTGACTGACTGACTGACACCCTTTCTCTTCTGACTTAGTACGTCAGAGTCAATTTCCCTGAATCTGGACTTTACTTCATTTCATCCATCTCTCTCATCCCAACCAGACAAAAAAAACCCCAGTCAAACCTGCCATCCGCAGTCATCTCTACTCTGTTCTACTTGTCTAGCGGTTACTCGTGCCCACCGGAGTCAACACAGATTTAGATTACGCGAGCGGTATACCAGGCAAGGCTAGGCTTTGCTCCTCCTCCGTCGCCAAGTGGCAAAGATGATGCTCTCGCATTGCGATTGCTACTGAATATAAGAGTCCCGATCAGCTCGCACTCTTCAACATCCATCCATCCACAGCAGATCAACCCATTCCACATCCAACCCACAATCACAACAGCCCTCATATTTAACATCAACCCTCCGATCGATCAATCGCTTTTTCCCCCTCATTCAAACCAATCCTCAACCTCCCCTCAACCCCCAAAAAACAAGCCCAATTTCAACCATCATGGCTATTGCTATTGACCAGCCCCATGTTTTCCTGATCTTCGGTAATATACCTCTGCGAACGTTCCCCCCTTCTCCCAGTGTCGTATAAATTCTACTTCAACAAAGATCAACGGCTTACTTCCCCCCCAAAAAAACAGGCACCGGCTGGATCGCCACGCAAATCAAGGAACTCCTGGAGAAGCAAGGCGTGAAAGTGGTTTCCTCTGATGCTCGAATTGAAAGTCGCGAGCAAGTTTTAACGTGCGCAAGAAAGATTCCCCTCCCCCCCTTTAAACAAAACCATCCCATTCTCGCCGTGGGGACCACCAACCCAAAACATGTTCAAGAACTTGACACAGAATGCTAACCTCTCGAGACATCCCCCAAAACAGTGCGCTCGCCATCCACAGGCCCACGCGGGTGATCAACTGCGCGGGCCTGCGCGGGCTCCCCAACGCCGACTGGTGTGAGGACCACAAGATCGAGACGGTGCGATCCAATATCCTAGGTGTGCTCAACGTAGTCGACTGCTGCTTCCAATTAGGTATCCATGTTACTCAGCTAGGATCGGCCTGTATCTATGACACCGACCCGACCCGCGCCCCGGACGCCAACTTCACCGAGGAGGATGATCCCAACTACGCCGGGTCCTGGTACTCGTGCTCGCGGTTGTTGAGCGAGAATGTGCGTCGGCCTGGAAGACCCCCCAAGAAAAAAAAGAAGAGAAGTACTAACCAATTCGAATCCCGAAAACAGAGCATCAAGCACTACCCCAACCTCCTCCTCTTGAGAATCCGCGCCCCGATCGCGGCCGACTTCAACCCCAACAACTTGACCACCAAGCTGATCAGCTATAAGAAGCTGGTGAACTTGCCTGCGGTATGTTGTTCCAAACCAAACATTTGAGAGTAAGGCTCATGGACTGACGACGCACAAACACAGTCCGGAACCATCCTCCCCAACCTTCTGCCCGGCGCAATCCTCCTGTCCCAGGCCGGTGACACGGGCATTTACAACCTGGTGCGTGGCGCTCCCTGCTTCCTTTGACCTTAACAATCACCCCCTCCCCATACTAATGGAGGGAATCAGATCTCCCCCTCGCCATTCACCAACAACCAGATCATGACGCTCATGAAGAAGTACATCGAGCCCTCGCTGAACTGGGAGAACTTCGAGCTGGACGACATGCACAAGGTGCTCAAGGCGCCGCGGTGCCACCCGGTCTTCGACTCGAGCAAGTTGATCAACCGACTCCGCGAGCTCGGCCACGAAGTCAAGGACACCCCGGAGGCCCTGGAGGATCTGTTCATCGAGATGGCGGACAAGGGGTACGGCCCAGGCGGCAAGTTGTCGCGGACCAAGCTCGCTGTTTGAATGGCTGGATGCGATGAGCAACCACACAACAGCATGACGACTCCATCTTCTCCTTCCTTTTCTACTTTGGCATTCGGTGTTCTGTTTTCATCTCTTGTCTTTTCTTGTCGCTTGGGCCTATAGACTGTTTGACTTTGACTTTTGACTTTGGATTCTGATTCCAATTGATTCTGCGGTTGTCTTCTTTGTTTCCCTGGCCGATCATTTTCGCCATGCGAGTCGCTTTAATCAAGATGGAGACTTTCATGCAGAAACAAGTTATTGATCGCTCTTGCACTTCATGCTGTCTTGGGGAGATAATTCATCAAAATTTTTGCACATCAATCACTTCGTTCTTCTCGGATTATATTCAGATAAAATGAATCAAGACATCTTATCAGCCGCGGGATCGCGAAGAGGCAACGGCCTTCCATGATAACTTAACTGCATCAGCAACCGTACGATGTATACAGCATACAGCCAACCGGGCCTTGATGTGCGGCCCCGCGTCGGTCCCAAACAAGCATAGACTCAACCCGAACCTGACTCTGACTCCGCATAAGACCACTATTCTTTCGACTTTGATTCGACAAGAACGGAAAGTTGCTGCAGCGACGGGCAACTAAACCGGTGCATACTGGTGGATTTTGTGTGCGAAGTCCCCGTCTTTCGATAGAACCGGCCCGCACCGGCGGGCCGTACTGGTTACGTGGCGCGTACCAAGATCCCACCCCAGCCGCCGCCCCTGCGCGCATTGCAGCATTGTAAGCTTCCCGTAAATTACCGGTAATCCGGGGGGCCTTTCGTCGCAGAAAATAATCCTTCGGAATGAAAAGGATCCTGCTCGCCCGCTCGTATTCCTTCGCTTAGTCTTTCAGCTCTTGCCCGTTTTCGGCTAATATGATGAGGCAGGCTGACGGTCGGGATTCCCATCAAGCCCGCGGCTTGCAGAATTCCGGGCTGCTGATCAGGCAAGTCACGAGATCTGGATAGCGAGCGCAACATGATTCGAACTGTAGGCGCGCGGACACTCAATGAACCTTGTGGTCATTTCTTGGGTAATCTGAAGTACCCGTACATGCGATCGTTGACAGACAACCCCAGAGCACAAATGGAGCAGTACCTTGAAACCTGGCACATTTCTCATCATTTTGGAAATTCTGAAATTCTTGAAATTCTTTGATCAGATCTCTAAGAAAAGATGCTCCACACATCCGTGGAAGCCATGTTGATACCTTCCGTGAACAGGTCCGCCCACGGCAGATCCACCCGAACGTCCGGGAAATGCGGTGATATCGTATGCGACTGCGCCTCATCGGTTTGAGCAGGCGTATGCGTTTGGAGTCCAAACCACGACTGGAACTCGGTATCGACTTCTGCGTCCGCGCGGCCGGTATCGTCATAGAGCGTCAAGATGGAGTTCCCGAGCCGCTCGACGATCTGGGAACACTTCTCGCCCACCTCGCGACCGTTGCATATCCCACGAAAGAGAGTGAGAAAAGTCTGGATATTGGTCTGCACGACTGGCTTGGTCAGCTCCTGCCGCAACGACGCAGAAGCCCGCAGCGAGTACAGCATGGTCACCGCGGCCATCAGAAGCGAATGGATCGCGACAAAGGTGTACTTGATGCGGTTCCGCGCATACAGCGCGCTGTACGAACTAATGAGTCCGATCGCAGACTCGAGACAGATGCGTAGGTCGTCAGGCAGAGGAATTGGGATCGCCCGGGAAGGACGATAGAGGGAGAGCATCGCGTGATGGAAAGCGATCTGGAACCATTCTGTCGACTGGAAGGTTGACAGGCTGTGGACATATCGCGGAGCAGTGATTAACCACTGGTTCAGTTCAAAGTTGTACTGATTTCGTAGTTGGTCTAAATCCGATCGGTTAGCCCCTACGCCGCCTCTGGGGTGGAATTGTTTGTAGACCCCGGCGTTGATCTGGCGAAGTGCGATGATATGATTGAAGGTGGACATGTCAGTCACGCTCGGAATTGTGAGCTCGTCGATCCCAGCCATCTGATCACTCAGTTGTTGGTCTGTTCGTTGGAGTGGCAAAGCAATCGTGATATCCGAGTCTTCGATCATCAAGGGCCGACCCATGTTGATGGCCATACTGCATTGCATCACGTAGGCGCACCAGAAGATCCGCTTCATCATCTCCGCTTGCAGCACGTCCTGTCCCATCAGACTCTCCTTGCGATGTAGATCCATTCCGATGGCCAAATGCAGCGCCATTCCCGTGGTATACCACATATTGACCGACTGTGGCTCATTGTGCCCATACATTGAGAGCAGCAGCAGGCATTGGATATACTCAAGATCGCCAGCCTCCGTAATCAGCTCCAAGTCCTTGACAGCATCCTTGAAGAGCTTCCGATGCATATCATCGTTACTCAATAATTGGCAAGACCGCTCAGTAGCAGCAATTGCACACACAATCTTGACGAAAAACCTCGAGATGGAGCGAGCCTCGGGGTGTGCCAAGAACGGATTAAGGTGCTGCTCCCAGAATGTCGGCCGATGCAGGACAGGGAGGTACGGCCACCGCCGATCGAAGAAGGTCTCAGCAAGACTGACATAGGTTTCGTGGCCGATCTCGACCGCGCTGCTCAGGGGCACTTCCACACTCGTATCGTCACCCCACAATTCCCAGGCGCCACTCAGCGTGCTGCGATTCACCTTCTGCATACCAGGTCGATTGGCAAAAGTCGGACGCAGGATGCGCTCGCAGGACTGACGGGCCAAGTTCGTCGTACCGTCTAAGGGGATGTGCTGTGGCTGAGCCCCTGAGCCGGCGGTGCTATGCCCTGCCTCCTTTGCCACGGCGGACAGCATCGGCGTCCGGGGCTCATGAGCGACCGGTCCAGGTGACTGGAAGGCTTCCATGATTTGCACCTGAAGCCGCTGGTTCTCTTGCAGAAGGTCACTGCACCGTCGCTCCGCGGTCGCCAGGCGCGCTCGCAGGTCGTCGCATTCACATTGCGCATCGCCAGGGCGGACCACAAGCCGGTCCGACATCACACAGGACGTCCCGGCAGCAGCACATGGACCGCATGTCGGTAGTCTTCCGTCGCACTGTCATACCAGTGAGTGGGTCGATCTGATCTCAGAGGGCAGGTACACGACTAACTTTTTGCTTCCGCCTGCGGCACCGCTGGCAGGCGGCCGCGCTGCGGGTGAGACCGCGACGGTGGCGGCGCGGAACAGAGCTTGGAGATTCTTCAGTCATGTTCACAGATTTAGTATTGCATTCTTAGAATTCTGGCGGGTATCGGTGAATCTGGTTTTTCGAAGTCATCGACGTCCTCCAGCTTGGAATGGACGATGCCGGAAGGAACGACATCCCGGAATGATGGGCGATAGCCGAATTGTGGCTGGTGGCTGACTCATCGACTTTTCAGTGCGCAGAATCCGTTCTCTGATGGCGAGTATCCTATTCCATCCTATAATCAGAAAAATATTTACCAGGCTGTGTCACATAGCTGCCTGACTACTAATGAAAATAAATGTTTCTGTGGTTTTAAGATGGTGGACTTTTTTATGAAGTCCTATCCATGGACAACGGTTGGTCAAACGCCGGAATATACTCCAGCAATATATGTTGCGTGTCATGCATGTCAATGGATGAGGATCTCAAGACATCACGAGCTGAATATTCACCACCAACCCAAAAAGAAGATTCAGAAGACTAGTAGGCTTCACGCATTACGAAGCAATCAAAAACATAGAATCGCAACAAATGACCTAAACCAATCTAATCCTTTGCCCCAAATCACAACCGATTAACATACTCCTTAACCGTATCCCCAAACCCAACCATACAGATCGTCGCCCAAGCGGCGACGCCAATCCGGGGCACCACACCCCGGAAGAGCCCCTTGACCCCGGACGTAGCAACAATATGCCTGAACGTCGAGAACACAGTCGGCGAAACCGGCCGCGACGGATCCTTCTTCATCGACTGCATCTCCACACGGAGGACCTACACAAAAACAGAAAATCAGCTCACGACCACCACCTCCCATCACCGCACGCGCAGTACACCTTCCCCAGCCCGCCACCATTCCACAAAGAAAGGGATGAAACTCACCTCAAAAGGCTGATTCCAACAACTCAGCGCCCCGCCGATCGTCGACGCGAGGATCTTATCCCCAAACCCTAGCTTCTCGTCTTTCCCTCTCCCGCGCATCGAGCGGATCGTCTCCTCCGCGAAGCGCGAGATGCCGATCCGCGACGCCCAGCCGGTGACCTGGCGGAGGGCGACGGCGTTGACGCCTTTTTTAACGCCGCGGATGCCTTCCTTGCGGAGGATCTGCAGGAAGATCTCGACCGTGCCGGGCGGCTTGCCGAGGCCGTCCGCGGCGATCTTCGTCCGCGTCACCTCCACGGTCTTCATGCAGGTGGTCATGCCCATGGTGAGGTAGGCCTGGGCCACGCCGCCGCTGATGCCGCCGAGGACCCCGCACAGCGTCGGCGAGGCGCCCAGTCGCGTGCGGGCGTGGTACTCGACCTCGCTGGCCGTGAGGATGAGGATGGCGCCTTTCGTGCTGGCTTCGAGCCAGGCCTGTATCTCTGGTTAGGGACAGACGGCGGGTGTAAAGGCGGGTGGGAACAAGTATGCAGCTATCCCAGACGGAAGACTGGAAGTAGCGGTCAGGATGAGTGGACTACTGTACATACCCAAGGAATCAGCCCTTGATAGAAGGCCAGGAAGCGACCACGTGACCACGTTTTCTTGAACGCTTCGGGCAATGTATCTTGACGGTTGGCAGCGAGCTGGATTATGGCGTCAGTATACACCGGGAATTTCATTGAGATAACACCATACATGCGTCTTGATTACTTCCAGAGGCTGGCCCAGTGAGGTCACTGCATGTCGTGAGCTGACGAAATTTGAAATACAAATTGGGATGAATAGGTACCCTGAAAGATGTTCATGGCCGCCCCGACGGCCAAGTTTCTATACGGGATGGGTCGTCTCTGCTCGGTAACATCCTGGCGATGTACAGGCGTGCTGATAGTGGTGACGGGCTCCATTGTGCTGCGATGTTGCTTGGCTCGGGTATAGACTCATCTTGTTTCATTCGTGACTTTCGCACATTGTTATACATACATTCCATCTCCGACCTCCGCGGGCGTTTCGGATGTATCCGACGCATGTACAGCACGACCTGTCGGTCCAGTTTCACCCTTGCATCGGTTACGCGGAAAACCCGTCCGACTCGGTCGGAATATCTGACTTAGATAAGTGTTAGGGAATAACTCGGACAAAGCTTTAGTTATGCTCAGACTCAGTCGTACCATCAAGCTTCAATTAGCGACAAGACTTAAACCGTGTCAGCAGCGTGTGGGCAAGATGTCCATCCAATCGACCAATTCTCAGAGCTCGAGCTCGGCATTCCAGTAAGTTGACAACCAACCAGTTTCCAGCCGATGAACTGAGATCCAAAGAACTCGCCTTCCCCAAGGCGCTTTCGACACTCATGTACACGTCTTTGATCCCCGACTGGGACCCTATGCGGCCGGTCGAGCCTATACGCCGGAAGATGCACCTCTACAAGAATTGCTCGCCTTCAACAATGCCATCTCTGGGGCCAACAATACCACACTGGTACTGGTCCAGCCATCGCCGTATAAGACAGACTGCACCGTATTGATGCAGTGTCTGCGCGAACTACGCGACCGGGAAATCCCTGCTTTTGGAATCGCGGTCATTGACATTTCCCGCGTGACGGACCAGGAATTGCAAGCTATGCATGACCTGGGCATCCGTGGCATACGTCTGAACTTCCAGGCGGACGGGCACAGAGTAGATGTCGCAAGTCTGAAAGATAGAGTTCGACATGCTGCGGAGCGTATTCAGCACCTGCCTGGCTGGATGATCCAAATGTTCATTCCAGTTTCGGCATGGGACGGTATGTCATATATCTTCCATTTGGACAACCTAGTCTGATGAAGCGACAGTACTATATGACTGCATCCTCGAGCTCCCAGTACCAATCATCGCAGACCATCTTGGTGGGACCGCTGGCCCGTCCAAGCTGCCGGTCGAGTTGCGTTCCAAGCCGATGGCTCAGCCCGGGCTAGGATCATTATTATCGCTGGCGAGACAGGCTCGTGTAATAATCAAAATCTCAGGTCTTTACCGGATGTCGAGTGAGACAAGCTCGAATTACGGCGATTTGCAATCCATCGTTAAGATGCTTGCTAGCGAGGTTCCTGACCAGCTTATATGGGGCAGCGACTGGCCGCACACCGGAGAAGGGCACGATCGAGTGGGCAAAACAGTAGATGTCAAAGAGCCCTTCCGAGAAATTGATAACCAGGGCGTTCTTCGCAACCTTAGTGCATGGATGGGTCCTGGGGCATGGCAGAAGATGATGGTGGAGAACCCACGGCGCGTGTACCAAGGATAGAGTATGATTAGAGGTTCGGAACCAGAAGCTAGACCAATTCAGTAGAGTATCGGTTGTGTTGCCCTTCAAATAAAGTTTTCGCAAGCTGCTGGATCTTGATTGGTTTCCCTACCTTTCGTTTGGCCGGGGAGGCCATCGGAATGAGCCCGTTCGACTCCATATCGCCACGCGTCGGATGCTTCCGGTCATTGCTATCCAGCCCACGGGGATAATGGGCTGATCCTTTTTACTCTGCGGTCCAACGAAGAGGGAGACGTTGTAATGCCACGTTGGGTCCCCCGCACTCCCCAGTCTGGAAGTACAAGTACCCCGGACCCCAGATTTTCTTGCATGCACAATTGTTGACCCAGAAACCAAGATTGCATTCGACCAGCTCTTCAAATGACTTACTTCCGCATCCCCCTTGTCGGGCTCCGGCTTCAAATTGCACTGGTGGCTCTGGTGGTTGCACCATCTTATATCCTTTTTGGATACAACCAGGCTGTGCTGGGCAGCTTGCTGAGTCTGCGCAGCTGGGTGGACGTGTTCCCTGAGATCGACACCATTGATACCTCAGGGGCACAAAAGTCACACAACTCCACGTCTCAAGGAGCCTGCAATGCTTCGTTCCAGATAGGCGCTATGATAGGCGCGTTGTCGTTGTCGTTTTACGCTGAAAAACTGGGTCGGCGGCGAGTCATCTTCCTCGCAGCCATCATCACGTTCATCGGCCAGGCTTTGCAATGCTCAGCAACAACTCTTGCTCAGCTGATAGTCGGCAGAGTGATTATTGGGTTTGCAATCGGCCAGACAAGCGGCACCGTGCCGGTATGGCAGTCAGAATGTGCCTCGTCCAAGGACCGAGGACAGCAAGTCGTCTGTGTCGGCATCTTCATCAGCACTGGCTACTGGCTGTGCAACTGGGTCGACCTGGGATTCAGCTTCCTTTCATCATCGACGATGCAGTGGCGAGCTCCCCTCATCATCCCATTCCTTTTCTCTGCAATCTTGTTGGTGTCCGTTTTTGCCTTTCCCGAGTCCCCTCGTTGGTTGGCTTCCAAGGGCCGACGGGAAGAAGCGATGATCAGCCTCGCGCAGTATCGCGGGAAAGAACCAACCGATATCATGGTCCAGCGTGAGCTCGCCGGGATAGAACTCTCGTTTGAGGGCACCGAAAGAGCTTCCTTGAAGGACATGTTCCGCAAAGACGATCAGGACCGCCTGTTCTACCGTTTCCTTCTCTGTATGGGACTCAACTTCTTTCAGCAGGTAAGGGCCCCCCCTCCCCTCTTTCTGAACCCAAGCATCTCAAACTAACTTCATAGGCCTGCGGCGGCAACCTCATCTCGGTCTACAGCTCCACCATCTTCCAAAACTACCTCAACATGACCCCCACTACCGCCAAAATCCTCGCCGCGTGCGTGCTGATGTGGAAGTGCATCTGCTGCTTCATACCCTGCTGGACGATCGACCGGTGGGGCCGTCGCCTCAGCTTCATGATCAGCGGGGGCGGGATGGCCGTGTGTATGGCCGTGCTGGCCATCACCACCGGTCTGGGGACCATCACGCACACGAAGGCGATCGTGTACGTCGCCTTCATGTTTGTGTTCAATTTCTTCTATCCCATCGGCTTCATGGGCGGCAATTTCCTGTATGCCACCGAGGTGGCCCCCGGCCGACTGCGGGCGGCCATGTCCTCTTTGGCGACGGCCAACCACTGGTTGTGGAACCTGGTCGTTGTCCTCGTCACGCCGGTCGCCATCGATACCATCGGGTATGGGTATTATGTGATCTATGCGCTGATCTCCGCCACAATCCCGGTCTGTGTGTATCTGTTCTATCCCGAGACGAAGAATAGGAACCTCGAGATGTTGGACCAGGTGTTTGCTACTGCGCCGTCGGTTTGGAAGGTGGTGAGTCAGGCTCGGGGCCTGCCGCAGGGTGAGCAGTCGGTTGCCCAAGTGGAGGAAGGAAAGGAGGATGCGGCTGGTGATGTAGAGATGCGCGAGTTCGTTTGAAAATGATCTTTCTAGATAGGGGAGACCGAGGATCTCTGGAAGAAGGATGAATGTATGGTGGATGAAGTGAGAAAGGAAGAGGGCAGGGTGGGGGGAGGAAAGTCCGCAAAGGGAAGCAATACACATAGCAATCACATGATGTCTCTCTTCCAACATTGTATCTTCTTCTGTTTCTACTTATCTCTCTCGTCCGAATGCTAGCGCATACAAGGTAGCACTATATCGGATTTGTGTAGTTTGGGATGTCAGCTCATGTTCTCCGACAGCGGATCTGGCCGAATGCGAGGAATCGTGATACTTTGCAGAGAAAACCGCTCACGCTACAAGCAATCCTACGATGCCAGTTTAGCGATTTCATCAGCCTCAACTCCATTACTCGGATCCTAGATTGCTTTCCCAGGGCTCACAAAGCCATGTTTACGTGATGTCCACTCACAACATTAAGCTTTCTGCACACGTAAGACTCTAATCGCCGCTCATCGGAACAGCCGACGGATGTATCCGAATTCACGAACGAATCACCACGAACTTAAAGCAAACGAACAATCGCGTACACAACGGTCATAAGCTTCTTTTTTCCGTCTTTCTCTCTTGCATGACACCAGTAACAAGAGAATGAGACAATGTCATCAATGTTAAGACTCGCGCGACTGAACAAGTCAGTCAAGCTCGCCAGAGGCTTTGCCTCGCATGCGACAGCACCCCTCAGTCGCCTGGAACACCAGACGGTCGATCTGCAGCAATTTCCTTCTAAAGTCGCAAACCTGAGAGATCGGTAGGCAGCGATTACAATGTATGTCTGAGAGTTGAGAAATCAACTGACTTCTGCAGACTCAAGCGCCCCCTCACATACTCGGAAAAGGTGCTCTACAGCCATCTCGACGAAAGTTTCGACGAACCCATTACGCGCGGACAGTCGCAACTCCGCTTGCGACCCCTGCGCATCGCCTGTCAAGATGCGACCGCTCAGATGGCTCTAATCCAATTCATGTCGGCTGGCATGGACGCGGCGGCCGTGCCCACAACCGTTCACTGCGACCATCTGATCGTCAGTCGTGACGGAGAAGACCAAGATCTGCCCCGTGCGCTGGAGGCGCATCGTGAGGTCTACGAGTTCATGGAGAGTGCTTGTCAGAAGTACAATATGGGGTTCTGGAAGCCGGGAGCTGGTATCATCCACCAGATTGTTTTGGAGAATTATGCTTTCCCCAGCGGGATGATGATCGGAACGGACTCGCACACCCCGAATGCTGGTGGACTGGGAATGATCGCTATCGGCGTGGGAGGCGCCGACGCAGTCGATGTCATGGCAGGCCTACCATTAGAGCTGAAAGCGCCCAAGGTGCTGGGGGTACGACTGACCGGCCAGCTGTCGCAGTGGGCTTCCCCTAAAGATATCATCAGCACTGTCGCAGGATTGATCTCAGTGAAGGGCGGCACAGGCTCAATTATTGAGTACTTCGGGCCGGGTGCCCAGACGCTGTCCGCAACTGGAATGGCGACGGTGTGTAACATGGGTGCAGAGACTGGCGCGACGACGTCAATCTTCCCTTACTCGCCCCAGATGGCAGACTACCTCCGGTCAACCCATCGCAGTGCCATGGCTCGCGCAGTGGGAAGTGTTGCGCCAGAACTACGTGCGGATGAGGGTGCAGAGTATGATCAGGTGATTGAGATTGACCTGTCGACATTGGAGCCTCGCATCAATGGACCATTCACGCCGGACCTTTCTACTCCACTATCCAAGTTCGCTCAGACGGCTGAAGAGCACCAGTGGCCTGAATTGACAGCTGGTCTGATTGGTTCGTGTACCAATTCCTCATTCGAAGACATGGGACGTGCGGCGCATCTGGCTCAACAGGCACTCGATGCCGGTCTCCAGCCGAAGATGCCTCTTCTCATCTCGCCCGGAAGTTTGCAGACCCGCGACACAATCGAGGATGCCGGTATTCTGCCTGTTTTTGAAAAGCTGGGTGCAGTCATGCTGCCTAATGCATGCGGACCGTGTTGTGGTTCCTGGGACCGCACTGACATGCCCAAGGTAAGTTCCGTCGTGGATCGCATCGATCTCCCAGCTCTAACCAACAGTGTATAGGGCACCCCGAACTCGATTATCACCTCTTACAACCGTAACTTTTCCGGCCGGCTGGACTCTAACCCAGCCACGCACATCTTCCTCACCTCACCCGAGCTCGTGATGGCGAAGGTGTTCTCCGGAGATCTCTCGTTCGACCCCACAGTCGACACGCTCACCACCCCCTCAGGCGAGACCTTCAAATTCCAGCCTCCCACCGGCGACGCCCTCCCCAAGGACGGCTATAAAGAATCCAGCTCCGCCTACCTCGCTCCCCCAAGCAAACGGGACAACCTGGAGGTCAAGATCTCGCCATCCTCCCAGCGCCTGCAACGGCTCGCCCCGTTCGAACCTTGGCACGGCAAAGACTTCAATGACTGTGTCGTTCTCATCAAGACAAAGGGCAAATGCACAACGGACCACATCACTCCTGCAGGCCCCTGGTTCCGCTACCGCGGCCACCTGGAGAACATCTCCAACAACACACTGATCGGCGCCGTCAATGCCGAGACCGGACAGGTCAATTCCATCCGCAACCAGCTCACCGGCGAGGAAGGCCAGGAAGTCCCCGCCACGGCGCGGTACTACAAGAGCCATGACCAGCCGTGGGTGGTCATCGCCGACCACAATTACGGCGAGGGTTCATCGCGCGAGCACGCCGCGCTGCAGCCGCGCTACCTAGGCGGGGTGGCCATCATCGCGAAGTCGTTTGCCCGGATCCACGAGGCAAATCTGAAGAAGCAGGGTATGTTGGCGCTGACGTTTGCAAATGAGGCCGACTATGATCGCATTCACGCATCAGATCGTGTGAGTATCCGCGGTTTGGCGGGGTTGGCGCCGGGGAAGAATTTGACGCTGCAGGTGACTTCAGCTCAAGGGGATGTTTGGGAAGCGGAATTGCAGCATACGTTCACTGAGGAGCAGATTGGGTATTTCCGGGCGGGGAGTGCGTTGAATTTGATGAGTGGAGGAGTGAACAGTTCATGATTTCTTGATGAATACCGTTATCACGTTAACCTGTTTGCTAGGGGAGTTCGGACTTTCTGGAATAAACCATAGGGCCTCTGATTTTCTAACATCTTTTGTGTCAGCAAGTAATCATTAAATGAGAACTCGGATTTGCAGTGCATGAGTTCTTACATCTCGAGAGGTAACCCTTCATAGACAGTTCAGGTTTCCATACTATCATACCAGAAACGGCGATCACTATCATCACTCGGCTGAGAAAATACTACTGTGTAGTGGGAGACCAAAGTCTGGCGGGCCATGATGTCCTCAGGTGCTAAAATCATCACTTATTCCCTGCTGTAACAACTCCCAAAAGCTTGTCTCAATACCTTGCAGAGGCCATATTTCGGGGGACAGATCTGCATCGAAGAATGGAGGCGCTGACGGCTCAGATGCAGCGCTACTATCATCATCTGCCTGTAATACGTCTCCAGGTGCATCCTGGGAAATGGTATCCTCGGCCTGCCGCGTGGAAGAAAGGTCCGGTCTTGTTGTGGTCTTCGGTACGAGGTCCGGGTCCTCGACTGGCCTGGCGGAGCCGCTGCTGCTCATGGCTGGCCAATTGATGTCATACGATGATTCCTGGGGATTGGTCCCAGGTTTAGCTTCCGACAGCGTGGTCACGACCCGGTCTATGCTAACATTGATGGAATTCAGAGCCCACGGTCGAACATAGATAGTTCCGAGGTACGGAACATAAAAGGTGATCCATGGCCTTTCCGGATCTCCGCCAAAAACTAGTCCCCTCCGACTAAAACCACTATCTCTGGAAAGTACGAGGGGGACCAACCGCGCGATGAGAGCTGCAAAGTCCCGAGAGATTTTGTCCTTGCACGTCTCGGCCACGAGGTGTAGCCTGTCCCGAGCGCTCTGTGCTAGTTGAAGGTCGTCTCGCCGCTGCGCGTCCGGGTTGGGGTGGCCTGCCTCGAGGTGAGGTGGCCGGTCAGCCACGTACCCCAGTAACAGCGTCATAGCAGCGATTAACGCACTGTGGTCGACGTGACGACAAGCAGCGGCTGAGGGATGGAGCGTACGGTATGGGCTGAACAGTCGCAGGATCGATCGGGCGGATGTGGCGCACGAGGCCCGGCTGTGGTCGTAGCGTCCGCCTTGTCGACCACTACTAAAACTAGACTCACGCCGAAGCAGGTAATGTAGGTGAAGATAGAGTTTCAACGTGTGGTGATGAATTTGGAGCAAGACATGAGAGCTGGAAGTCAGGTCCTGCTTCTTGATTGAAGGCAGATTCCACCACTCCAAGCCCATTTCCTCGGCTGTTGTATCGAGTTTTCCGTCGATGAGGTGGGTTAACGAGAAGGCAGCGTGGTCATCTTTTTTGATCATTGCGTTGCGCTCGAGGATGCGCCCGGTGAGAACTGTCTGGGTCTTTTCGAGCCGTTCCATCTTCGTGTCCGGGCTATTACTAGATGTGAAATCTGCAAAACTATTATCCTGCAAATCTGGGGGTCGACCAAGCAATAACGAAAGGTATCTGTCGAAGAATACCACGCGATACCATAGCCACCGGGGAGAGACTCCCATTGCAGGAGGGACGGTCTTATCGTGGGTGGGGACGTGCGTTTGGATTCTATTGCGTAAATCCAGAAGCTGTGAAACATTGATAGCGCGACGAGCAGTCAACCAACTCCGTCGCAGGCTTCCAGCATTAAGCTGAAATAAGGCAAGCAGCACAAGACATTCCACGCCATCGGGGGAATGAACCAGGTCATCACGCGAAGTCACCAGCTCCACGACGGTGGTGACATTTTCCGCAGCTGCGCCCTTCAGAGACGTTTGGTTTTCAAGAGATAGGCAATTACATTCAGGTGGGAGTTGCTGCACGCAAATTGCCAGTTGCAGCAGCCGCTTGGCAAGAACGATTGGGTGAGACTCTCTGAAAGAGTGCATGGCGATGGCTGTGAGCTTCTGAAACCGGCCCTGGGATATTTCTTCGGATGTGTGGAAGAACGTAGAAACCAGTGTTGCTCCGGGGCTAGCTACCACCAATGCCATCGTAACCTCGGGGGGTGGTAGGAGATCAAATAATGTGATGCGGAGCCTTTCGTGCTTGCGATATCGAGGGTTGTGCACTGGTCTTTCAACTTGAGATGGTTGAGGCGTGTCCAGGATGTCCCGGATGCCTAGCATGGCTCCCATGGGAGTTTCTTCTACGGTCCCCGAACTGGGAACATCATCGATCGTCGTATGGGTATTGGATCGAGCTCCTCGTGAGGGTGGCAGGGTAGTTCGTTGTGAACTTTCCGAACTCGCAGATCTTCCATTAGTTGTTAATGAGTTCGAAAGCCCCCTAATTTCTCCGGCAAGGTTCTGAACAATCCCCTCCAGCCGTTTTAGACGGTCCACAATCTCTCCGTCTTGCCGTGGTGGTGAAGGTGATTTGTCAGTGTCAATCTCAACGAGATCCTGACTGACGCAGGGAGTCCCCCTGGCACTACAAGTAACACAGACAGAGTCAGTAGATGTGGCAAATTGACATCGTATCTTCCGTCGTCGACCTAAGCCACATAATCAGTGCTAACCCATCAAAGCCTTTGGTCCGCAAACAAACATTCCCGGCAGCTGTGAGTTCCTTTGCGGACTCTTCTTCTGTGCCCAGTAAGGCGAGCCTCGCGCGTCTCGGCCACCATAGTCAGATGCGATGTATTGAAAGAGGAGTAAGGTCGAGCGCAGTACAATTGTGCCTGGTTTAAGGTTGATCGGTTGTAAAAAAGGGGAGGGTAGCTGCGCATATATAGATACGGGGACGCGCACGGACCCGCAGCTCCGTGCATTAGTCGGCTGCTCTACGGCTTACTAATTATGCATCAATCAATCTAGACTCTCGGTCGCAGTAGTTACTACGTAGGTAGGTAACAATCTTCAGTGGATCATCTGAGCAAAAATGTACTATGTACACTATGAAAACGAGTACTAACAATCAAGTACTGTACTCCCATGTTCGTACGTACTGCAGGGTTGCTGACTGCTCAATTCACCAGACGAATAGTCAAACTTGTTAATCCCACTGCTCTCCACTCCAAATCTTCTTTGTTGTCCACAGAAAATAATCGCGCCCCTTGAACAGCCAAACCAAAAACCCGGGCAATTTATACCCCATCATCGCTCCCACACCCCCAGCCGTCCCAATCGGCACGATCTGTGTCTCGCGCGTATCCTCCTTGAATACAGAATCTCCGTCGCCACCACCGCCTGCTCCTTCAATCTCACCCAACAACAAATCCCGCTTGATGTTGGCACAAAGCACCGGCACAGCCTGCAGAATCCCATGCACCGACGGCCGCGCCGCGTACGAGGCCGCATCCCCAATCGCATAAACTCTCTCCCCCGCATTCTCCACGCGCAGCGTCGAACTTGTCTCGACCCGACCATCTGAAGCTAGAAGACTCGGGTCTAGAAAGCCGGTATTAGGCTTCGTACCCGTCGCAGGAATGTACAAATCCGCGAGGAGCGTCCGCCCGTCTTCCAGCGTCACCGTCGCAGCCACTGCATCCTGACCGGCGTTCTCAGGATGGACACTTTGCACGCGGGCGTTCTTGATGACCGACACGCCAACTTCAGCGAGTAGCCGCTCGGCTTTGATCGCCAGTGCCGGACGCAAGGCGGGAAGCAGTTTGCAGGCGGATGTGACGAGGGTAATGTGTACGTTCGGGGGCTGGTTCGGACTGCGTCCGAAAGACATCCACCCGCTGCGGTGGCGCCCGTTGAGGTGCTCTCCCAGCTCTCCGGCTGTTTCTACACCTGCTGGTCCACCACCTGCGATCACGATAATTTTGACGTGCGGTAGGGTCTGTCGGATAGCGGACCAGCTCTTTCGGAGGTCGACGGCGTCTTGGTTGAGGCCGAGGGCGGGCGAAGGGGTAGATGCGCCGGTGGCGATGACGAGGGCGTGGTATGCGAGAGTCTCATGTCCTCCGTTCGAGGACACGGCGATTGAAACATTTCTCTCGGTGTGCGTCACTGCAGTCGCTGTTCCGTGGATGAATTGAAAGCTGCCATCGGGGTAATGGGCGAACATGCTGCGGATGTCGACAAAAAGCTTCTGCTGGTCGAAATACTCGTCGGAGATCAGTGCACGTGGGGAGGCCTGTCGACACATGGCTTGGGATGATGCGCTCACAAGGATGATTCGATAAAGCTCCGGGGTGGGCAGCTTGGGAATGACATGTTTGAGCAGGTAGTGCGCTGTCGAGACACCGCCGTACGATCCTCCGAGGACGACAATAATCTTTCTTGGGGGCGCGTCAGGCATTGGGGAGAAGTGAGACGAAAAGCTTTCAACAATTTGAAGTGACCGGAAAGTTGAGGAAGTCTATAATGTGGACGCTCAATCTCATATATACCTTCTACAGCCGGACGAATCGTCCGAATGGCTTCAGCAGAGACTCGGATGAATTCGTCCGAATTCGTCCGTTCAAGGACCAAGACACAGAAATGCTCCTCAAGCCCATACATTTGTCATCATTCATAGTGCACAATCAAAGATAATTCCCTCTGCAGATTTTCAAACAGTCTAAGATGATACAAATCCTACTCCCATGTTAACCTTTACACCATGCGTTCATATCTGTTAGACATATGTAATGACCTTCCCGTCCACATGACGCCACACCCGACCGACAGCCCAAAAATCCAAGCCAATGCAGTATTACCAGTATATATCCTTTCTATCAGTGACCTGTAATCAAACCCGAAAATAATAAACAATAAGAAATAAGAGATGGAAAAAAAGAGGTATATCAGTATGTCCCAAGACTCAGTCGCGAGCATTCCAAGTTGTGTCAGAGGGCCTGTCGGCACCTGATTGGCTGCTCAGCCACTGCCCCCGTGGCTCAGCTGCAGAAAGTGCCATGAGGTCATTCTCCAATTAGATAAGGGAATCCATCATCTTTCACGTTTCTCGACACATTGCGATTTTCCAAGTCAATCGATCCTAAGAACGCTCAACATGTGCGTCCAACTGCCGGATATGCTGCGACCATCATTCGTTAGCCGTTATCAATGAATCCCGACCGTCCATGAATCCTGCATCCACTAAGAGACAGGAAGCCACAACGGACCATTTGTACATCAATGTCTCGAAAGTAATAAAATTGTGCGTCAGTTGGTAGATGCGTGATCAAGTCCGACGGGGCGACATGCTGTGTACTAGAGTTGACAGATCTTGAGAGGTTGGGAACTGAATCTACAAGACCCATACCTGTAATTAGCTTAGGGTTGGTGGATGTTACGAAGTAAACCAAAGTATGGGTCCAACGAACCGATGTGGTGGAGCTGCGGAGAGGAGTGACGGCGGCCATAATGACGAAGGTAAAAGTCGTAAAACACAAGTAACGATGAAGGAGCAGTAGCAATTAGTGTGACGAGTGCAATGATTGTTTCCGGTGACCAGGAGGACATTGTCGTAGTCCGATCCCAGAAAATTGAATGTGTCGAGGATGTGTAAACGATACTTAGCCTTCGATATAAACAAAGCGAACTAGTGATAGGCAAAGAAGGAAAGGAGGGGCGAAGTATTAAGAAGAGAAGGTGGTCAAAATTAGTAAGGGATCCAGTCCCTCGGTCAATGACGTGAAGAACGGGGTCCAGCGTGAACAATCAATTTGAGGCGCGGGCACCTAGAGGCGTCCATCGCCAAGTACTCGTCGCTGCGGCGCCCCACCACCTGCGGTGGAGACTTGCCTTCACCTTATAACTTCATCTCAAGAATAACAAAAATACCTACTAATTCTACTTTTTTATAATCACGTATGACTTTATCAATTTAGAAGACTAAACTTCAAAATTAGTATACAGTATTTTTTATATCTAGAATTATATATCCATCTTTTTCTTTTCTAAGAATATTAAGTATTAAAAGAAATAGTTAAAAAGATATTCAAAATCTTAGACATTTTTAGTTTTCTAATTCTTACAGAAGACTTAGAAAATATCTGTTTTTTGTTAAATTAATCTATTATAAAGAGTTATTTCTATTGAAAAAGTAGGATTAATGTATATTATTTATTATTCTTGAAATGGAGTTATTTGTAAGATGGAGACGACCAACCTCTGATAAAGGGTGGATTGACAATAGCGACGAGTAGTTGGGAGTTGTCAGAGTGAACGCTGGACATTCCCAGTTGTGGGGGCTTTCCCAGTTGTAAACAGAATTTAGCGCAGTCCGAAGAAGGCGGTCCTTACAGTCGCCCCTCATGGAAGGTAATGATCCGGTCACTCACTGGTCAATGTCTACCCGGTCAATGTCTACCCGGGTAGACATTGACCAGTGAGTGACCTATATCTTTTTGGAGCGTAGCGCTTACTCCCATCACAACATTCATTAATCAAGCATAATTAAAATAAGTATATACTCTATCATAATCCTCATGTGCACAGATACACTCATCTGGAATGCAACACCAAACATAAGAATAGTACGAGACGAAAGCCTCGCTAAAGATATCATACACAAAGAACGCCAAAGAGCAAAGCAATCAAGTCAAGATCTGACGACTATAAACAGGTATCATGAGTTCATCAACAACAAAAGAAAAAAAAAACACCAAAGATCAAGTCTTTAGATGTAAAGTCAGGGTGACCTGATCCCCCTCCGACATGGCGGCACTAGTCTCCAAGATGGCCGCATCGCAGAGATTGTGCACCAGCTTCTTGAGGTTGGCCCGCGAACACCGCACTGAATACTCGATCCCGTGGTTATCCAGGACCGTACTGGCCGGGGCTACTAACCCGGTGGTCAGGTCCATCGGCTGCGGGGTGGACACCAAGCCCGGGGCGGCGTCGGGGGTGGATTTCTCCGACTCGCTACCGCTGCTGGTTGTACTTCGGGAGGAGGAATTGGTGGTGGTTGTGGTGGTGATGGTCGTCTCGCCGGACCCGGGGTCGATCAAGCTCTGCCAGACCTCCCATTCTAGCTGGTTGGCGTCCGACGAGTGGTGCGTACCGGTCGTTCCGTCCCCGCCGCCGGGGACCAGCACGGTGGTGCTGGGCGGCGTGGTGAAGAGGTCGTGGGTCTGGTACTGCACGTCGTCACCGAAGGCGGTGCCGGTCATCGTGCCGAAGATGTTGGTCAGGTCCATGTAAGAATTGGAGCGGCTGCTGGGACGCGTCGTCGGCTTGCTGCCCTCGGAGATGGAGCTGTGGTGCGAGCTCGCGTACGAGGTGCTGCCGCTGCTGCCGCTGCTTTCCTCGGTCGGGGTGGGCAGCATCCCCGTGGCGCGGGGGTCTATTCCCAAATCGAAGTATGGCGTGAAAGGGGTCTGCTGCTTGCTGATACTGTCTGTAGCGTTTGTGGCAGTGGTAATGGTGGTAGCGGAGGATGACAGCGGTCGGGGTTGCTTGGAGATCGAGCCCCGACGTTTCAACCGTCGCATCAGCAACGAGTAGCGGTTTTTGAGGGCTTGTGGGGCACGAGACCCAAGGAAGCTGTTGGCCATGAACTTCCAGTTGCGGCCGTAAATGTCGACGAGCTGCAGGAGAAGTTGATCCTGTGGGAGTGGCAATTAGCCGGAGTGCTTCAAAAAGATGATGATCGTTGTGCTTCGGCTTCTTGCAGTTACTGCGTTCCTCACGTACATACCTCCTGTGGAGTCCATGGACTGTGGTCGAGATCGGGGTTCAGATTCTCGTTCCACCGCTTAGCGCATTGATCACCATTGCGGGTCGCCACGGCCGCGGCAACCACCACCCAGCGGGTGCCATACTGTGCAACGGCTTCTCGGAGTCTCTCGTCCTCATCCGGGGACCAGGTACCGGTGTTGAGGCTGGCCGGGGTAAATGAGTCCCTGCAGAGGGGCATGGTGTATCTGCATATCAGTGGGGTAACAGTTCCAAGAAAGAAGAAAGAAACGTGGCCGAACGCTCACACTAGCGAAGAAAGTTGAAGTCTAGCGTTAAGAAGCAGGGAAGAGAAGGAAACCGTGCAGAAGCAGCTGGGGGTTCATGATGCTTTTGTTCTTTTTCTTCGATAGCGCCAAGCTGGAAGTTGATTCCTGTCTCGAAGGATGGTAAACTCCGTAACGACGAGAATGGTGAGATCCTTCAGGCGTACTGTATTTGAATCCCTGTCATGGGGTAAGATACGACAAAAATACAACGAAAAACCAATCAAGCACAGCAGAAACAGGCGAATCCCGGCGGAGGGTAAACCCGTGTCATGAGGAGGGAGCAAGTGGAAGATCAAAGTCGGAGGATGAACAGGGCTCGGCTACGGGACGTCGGGGCTTATTTTGGCTATTTTGGCGGTTTTTGGCGGTTTTGGGTGGCTTATCGAGAGCCGCACAGGACAGGCAAATGCCCGAGTTCATCCTTCGGAGGGGCGGGAGAGCCCGGCAACAACGCCACCTTATTTACTCTTTGCCAATTTCACCGTGAGGGATCTGGACTCTTCCCCTCGTGGTTTGGCTCCCTCCACGTGTGGTCGCTCCCTTCTAGTTTACCACGATCCTGGTGACTCTGCAGGCCTCATCCTATGCAGTAATCTTCACGATCTGCAGACCCAGTTTCGGCAGACTGAAACATTCACGAGCTGCAGCATAGTTCTAGCCTGCAACATCGCCCACCTAGCAATTCACCCTGGAGGCCCCTACTAACCCTATCTATGCCAACACTGTCTTTCAAAATAATCCAATATCCGGCTACCCAGAGAAAAGGTTCCAAGTTGCCTGTAACCTCATTGCCAACCAGGCTCTGTGGCAATCACTTAGTATTAGGTTATCAACCCCAACACGAGATTCTACCGGACCCTGCAGATGCCAACCCGCCATGCTTTCCAGAAGGCTTGACATTGTTCTTCCATCGTCAGACTTACCCGCGCGCTTCCGCACCAGACCAATGGGATTCTCAAAGTCCATTGCGAAGACCCTGCAGACCGGATTAACCAGAGTCAAGTCTCTGGATAACCTTCGGGGCGAACAGCCAAGGTATGCACGCTATGCAGCTTATTGCCCGTATGAAGTATTTGTCTCATCGCTCACTTCCTCACGGATTGGAATGCGACGGTCGGGAAATAGAAGAGAAAGGTACCGTTCTTCGTCGGCTACCGGTACGCAGTGCAACGGCATAGCAGTAGGTAGTACTGCAGACTCGAACTTGACTCGAGATGGTGGCCTTCGGCCACCATTCTTAATTTCTGCTGATGGAGGAGCTGTTGCGACTGTGATGCTGTCTTTGCTTTCAGCTAGATCAGTATCCGAGCCCATGTGCTAACCGTGCAGATTGTAGCTGTCGTTGCTGGAGCGACGCTCATCAAAGTCACCAAGGAAGAAAGAAAGAAAGAACAATAGCGACGCCACCATCCCATGCAACCTCGAAGAGATCCAGCTCCTGATGTCGCACTGAACTTGACCACCAGAAATTAAGATGGTTCCATCTCAGTCTTTCCACAAGCACCACCTAGCCAATACCGCGTTAGCAATTGCAGCATCCGTGTTCTTTTTCGTGAAATCGTAGAGCTTAGACGCGCGAATGTTCAGAGTCTTCCCATCGTAACCCGCTTCCAGCACGCGGGCATGTCGGGGACCCATGAGAGACACCACCAGGGTCTAAACCAAATGCAAGGTGAGCAAGCTTGTATGAAATTCCCACCAGGGAGAGAATATTCCTTACTGGGGCAACAATATGCGGGCGCAGCGACTTTGTCCTCAGCCTCGCAGCCATGATATCGGTGATGGTCATAATTTCTCCGCGAAGCAATCGGTCATCTCCAAATGCGTCGCTTTCTAGCATGACTTTGAAGTGTGGACAATTGCCCGTCCAATAGTCGGTAACTGATACAGCATACCAGTTAAATCTTGCAGCCTCCAGCAATTGGCCGAACTTGTATTCCCCAATCCTGTATGTCAGATTAGTCAAAGGGATAGTCCCATCAAAGGCTAAGATGGCTGTGGAGGCATGACATACTCTCGATATCCACCAGAAGGCCGAGGGTTATGGGGGTACTTTAGCGCTGCGTATCTCCCGCACTTGTAAAATTGCTTAGTGAGGAAGAGCTCCATAGCCCGAGCTTCCCACATGATGCGATCTGGGTCGGGCTCGAATTCCAGCAACTCCTCTTCGTTCTCCAGGAGAGGCAGTTCCTCTTGGTATTGCTGAAAGAAGCGCGGATGGTCCAAGGCGTTGTCCTCCTCAAGACATAAGGTCAGATGGCAGATACCAGCCGCCTCCAGAACAGAGGATTCAACATGCATAGTTGGGGTGTTCTCAGATTCTCGATTCTGGCTAATGCGTGGCGGCGATCAGCTCGCTCCCGCAGGAGAGCATCATCCGTCATTAGTGATAGCTATGTTATATTACTTAGAGAACAGAAAGATAGGATGAAGATGAACAAAGGGGAGTAGACAAAGGGGCCAGCGAGCTTGATGAACTGGTGGAAGATGAGTGGGAGGAAGGAAGGGATTCGGATTCTCTTGTTACAGGCGGCAAGGGCGGGCGCGCGTCCCGGCCTGAGGCAGCAGAGCCAGATGGAACTGTTCAACAATTGTAGTACTTAAAGGAGTGGGTCACCACTTACGTTGAAGTCCTTTATTCTTCCGACACAATATAATAATCTCGATGTAAGCACTTCCTAAGCCGCTTGGAAACAAAATAATGCAGAGTTTCGAGGAATATGTCGGAGAATGCGTGTAATGCCTTCTGAAATGTCGCTTGAATTGTCATAACAACTTGCAATTGTGATGTCTAGTTCGATCATCTTTGGAACTGTGGTCGACATATTGCTTGCCCATTAACCCTAGCGGATTACTTGAATAGCCTTGGGATAGTTACTCCAGGAGTCGCATTAGATGCTATGCTAAAAGCTGCAGCGTATAATGATGCCGCTCGTGTTGCCTTAACAGTTGCCTGAAATTATGCCTGAAATATGCCTGAAAAGCTGCTTGAAAAGTTGCTTGAAACGTAACGTCAAGTTGAATCGCCACGTTGAATCACTCTTGAATCATTGTTAAAGAATCCCTTACTAGATTATCGTAGCAGCTTACTTTCACTGTCGAAGACAAGATCCTTTGAATATAAAATCAGATGATATGCTGAAAGATCCAGCCTGAAATGTTGCTCGAAACATTGACTGAAATGTCATGTTGAAACGAAATGAAACGAAAAGTCCCGTCCCGCCGCCTTACAGTCCCTCGAACACCGACTACGAATCAGGCCGAAACTGTTGCCCTGAAATCTTGGCCCTACATCCCCCATTTCCGAGCCCCCCGCCAGTCCGGCCTGAACCCGACTAAGCCTGGAAGCCTCTGCGCATACTCTTAAAATCAGTTGATTCGTCTAACGTATGCTCATTCCTATCAAGAACACAAATCTCATACACAAAACAGTCGTAAACAATCTAAGGTATATCTATCAAATCAAAGTCATTCCATCTCTTCCAATTCATTAAATAAAGCCCATTAGTGTCTCATCGCGCGTCATGTTTCATCAATCCAGATCCAAAAAAAATCAAATTTCAATCACCTCCTTGTAGAAAACATTAGAATCCAACATTTTGCTCTTCGCACATGGATATATGCATGGTAGAAGGGAATCAAGAACCACAACAATCAAAACAGTCAAAACAGATAAAAGGGGGTGTCTCAGAAGGGAAATTCGCAAATTATACGGTGCGCGTTGAGGAGATCTCCCCAATCGCCGGTCGCCGGTCTATGGATATCTCTTTACGAGGTGGTTTATTCGAACTTGGTGCAGGTGCGCTGGAGAGGGTGCGCTCGCTTGTCGGGGTGTTGTTGTGCTGCTCGTGTGGATTGCACTCTTGGTCTTGCGGTTGCTTTGTGCTCGGGGGTTGAACATCGTCTAGGCCTTGTTCTGCACGTTCTTGGACATGGCGCGGATCTGGTGGCCGTACTTGTACAGCAGGAAGGGCATGGGCGCCATGATGGTGGCCAGGATACCGACCAGCGTGAGCACCCAGTGCGGGGTCATGTGCTGGTACATGGGGATCGAGGCGGGCTGCAGGGCACCCGAGATGACGTAACGGCTGAAGGTCATGAAGCCCAGCGCGGATCCGGCGTAGACGGTGTACACGAAGACAATGTACAGGTAGGTCGCCGTGAAGATGGTGACCAGCGAGTATCCGAACACGAAGGTCGCGATGATGGGGGACCAGATGCTGATGTCCGACTGGGATGCGTTAGTATTGAATTGTACACTGCATTAGCAGAATGGGGGAGACTTACGTAACAGGTCCAGCCCATCCAGAACAAGGAGATCGGCATCAAGAATGAGCCACCAACCATGGCCCAGTACAGAGACACCTCGGCCTGCAGAGCGGTGCCGTTGGTCGCAGCCTTGACCGCCGCCTTCTTGGTCCAGCCGTAGATCAGCGGAATGAGCAAGATGGCGACAGCATCACCCGCCAACATGGCCACCCAGATGATGAAGGTGAGCGAGTTGGAGATGCCGTAGGTCTGCGTGAAGATGAAGGGGAATCCATTCAGGAAGGTGAAGAGGACGATGTACAGCAGGATCAGGTAGAAGGAGAAGAGCAGGACGATGGGCTCCGTGATGGTCATCTGGAAGGGGCGGTAGACATTGACGAGGAGACGGCTGCCCAGCGAGCTGGTGGAAGCAGACTCGTCGACCTGGTAGCGGGAGTCTCCGGTGGCAGCACGCAGGTGCTTGGCCCTCCATGACAACAAGGTGGGACCGTAGGTCTCGGGCTGGAACATAGCGACAAAGACAAGCACGGCACCGGCAATGATGAGGGAGATCCAGTCGGTCCAGTTCGACTTGTCGGCAGGGATGTAAGCACCGATGATGGGACCGAGAATAGGACCCGAGTACGAGGCCATGGTCACGAATGGCAGACTGAAGGTGACATCGAGAGGACCCCAGATATCACCCACGGTACCACCTCCGACCGTCAAGGGGGCAGCACCAAAGAAACCCTGGATGAAGCGGAAGACAATGGCGGCCCCATAGTTGGGCGCTAGGGCCTTGGCCAGGATGAACAGCATGAAGACAATCAGGGTGATGAAGTAAACCGCATTGCGGCCAAATGTCTCCGAGAAGGGTCCGGCGAAGAGAGAACCCACACCCACACCAATGAGGTACATTCCTGCAACGATTAGCCTTAACCCCTGCATTAGTGGAAAGGGGTCAACTCACCAGTGACCATGGTACCGGCGATTTCACCGACGTGGTACTTCTCGTTGAAAGCAGCCGAAATGGGAGCATCGATGGTACCGGGGATACTGACAGCCAGGGCGATCAGACAGACCGTGGCTGTACAGATCCATTTTCTGGCACGGGTCCAGTTCTGAGGGTTGAGGGGATCGCCCTCCTTCCAGCCAACGACGTAGGTGACGGAGCCATCGTTCTCATTGGGGCGAGATAGTTCAACGCCAGGAATGAGAGCCCTCTCCTTCTCGTCCGGAGTGGAGGTGCCGGAGGATGAGCCACCGTCAGGTAAGGTGTGGGCTCTAGTCACATCCTCCCTGGCGGCATCTCGCAGGCTGATATACTGACGAAGGGTCGCCATAGTATAGGTGGGATATCTGGGATATCTGGGATATCAGATAATTCAAAGGTAGATAAGGATGATGATGAGAGTGGTATGATTGAAATGCTCTGGTCAGACATATTGAGGAGAGAAGCCGTCACTTTGGAGCAAATATATACGGACTGGAAGACCCCTGTGCTTGGTAACCTGGTGATGTGTAAAGTGGCCGAGACGGATTGATACTACCTAGGGTTGGGAAAGGTTCAGAATGGGCTTACAAGTCCCTTACAGTGGGTGATGGGAAGATCGACCGGAACGGGATTGGAAAAGGTGAAAGCCGACCAGTGACAGCGGTGTGAAATGCCCGACTGCTGCACTGTCGGACTCTCCGTCGGACTCTCGGACACTTTTGGAGGGGCCATTCGAGACATTGTGATTGGTAGAAGTCACTACATCAGCTCGACATGAATCAGCTGGATGACTAACCCCAAAAGTGTCCATGGCTTTTCCTGTTCCGGCCAGCAACGGGCCAATTCGTGCCCGATTGTCGCCGCCTATCCCTACTTTATCTCGTGATGGTCGCCCTGTCGCGCGTGCGTGATCACTAGTCCCTAGTTTCTAGCTAGTGGTCTGGGTCTGACTCGATTTTAGTCCTGAGTATCCTGACTCTGGATCCAGACTGACTGCTATCCCGACATGGAGTTGACTTGAATTCGAGGTTCAACGACACTGCAGGTGTTTGTCGGGGTAGTTCAATTCACCATGGGAACACATCATCTATATAAGCCCTAACTCGATGGGAAGAAGACGCAACCATCGACATCAATCACAACCACCACGACCACCAGATCGAGAGGCAAATTGAGGCGGGTGACAAGCAACATTCCACGGGCCAAGACACGTCGAACCACTTTTTTTTTTTAGCGACATCACATCCCACCACCCATTGACACCCAACCACACCCGTCAGCCACTAATTACCCGAACGATGTCGTCCGAGACCGTCCACGTCCCGCTCAACGTGCTGGACCACCTGCACCGGCCCAACTACGTCAAGCTGTGCTACTACTTCTCGCTCCAACCCGGCACGACCCCGCTGGATGTCTTCGAGGACCTCGGCAAGGGTCTGCACCAGACCTTCGTGCAGGTGCCGTGGCTCGGGGGCAAAGTCTTCCGCCAGTCCCCCGACACGCCGGGGTACCGCCCGGGGCAGCGGGAGCTGCGATACAACCCGGCGACGGCCGCGCCGGTGGACGGGCCGCTGCCGCACCAGCTGCGCTTCAACGAGCTGGAATCGGACTACACGTTCGCGGAGCTGCGCGAGGAGGGGTTCCCCAGCGACGCCTACGACGACCAGGAGCTGCTCAACGTGCCCATCGAGGGCAACCTGGACACGGGCTGCGACGTCTTCGTGGCGCAGGCCAATTTCATCCCGGATGGGTGCGTGCTGTGCATGTCGACCTGCCACGCCGCCATCGACGGGACCGCCATGGTCACCGTGATGAAGCTGTGGGCCGATAACTGCCGCAGCGTGTTCGACCCCTCAGAAATCCTCGAGCCCTTCCCCGCCGAGAGCTCCGACCGCACCCTCCTCGACAAGCTCTGGGTGCCGCCCAAATCCGGCCCCATCGCCCTCCACGACGCCGACGCCTGGACGCGGGGCCTGGTCGGCCTGCGCCCCAGCGAGGGCTCGACGACCCCCATCGACTTCCAGAACTGGTTCGGCAACGAGCACCCCAAGCCGCCGCGGCAGATGAAGAACCGCACCTTCTACATGTCGGCGGCCAACATGACGGCCCTGCAGAAGGAATGCGAAGCCTCCGCCACGGCCGAAGACAGCAGCACGACCACCGGACCCCTCAGCGGCAACGACGTGGTCACGGCGCTGATGTGGCGCAGCCTGGTGCGGGCGCGGGCGGCGGCGGCGGACGAGACGCTGGACGAAGAGTCGGTGCTCGAGTCGGCGATCGACGGGCGGATGGAGTTCTCGCAGGCGGTGCCGGCCAGCTACCTGGGCAACATCACCTTCTACAACCAGTCGGCGATCCCGGTGGCGGAGCTGCTGGACCCGGCGGTGCCGCTGGGCCGGGTGGCGCGCGCGATCCGCACCGGCGCCGGCCGCGTCAACAGCGCCAGCCTGCACGAGGCCTACGCGCTCATCAAGGGGGTCGCCGACTTCGCCCAGCTCAAGCCCCGCTTCCGCCGCACCGCCGGCGCCGACATGCTCATCTCCAACCTGCTCCTGTTCCCCGTGGACTCGATCCAGTTCGGCACCCGCCGCTTCGCCAACGAGGGCAAGCCCGAGGCCGTGCGCTGCTTCAACGGGCCCCTCAACGACGTCGCCCGCATCTCGTTCATCCTGCCCCGTCGCAGCAAGGGCGGCATCGAGTTGGCCATGAACCTGTTCGAGGAGGAGATGGATTGTTTGCTCGAGGATGAGGAGTTTAATCGGTTCTGCTTGGAGCTTTAGATTTTTCCGGGGGGGGATGCCAGATTCTTGTAATTAGACTTTCTTGTTTTTGTTTCTTTGTGTGAACGGTTTGTTCTTTGATGAAGCCTTAGATTGCGATTCATGATCTAGCTTGATTTTCGAAATCTATTTCCTATATCTTTCAACTGAATCGAGTATTTCTACCCCAAGTATTGCCGGTGTTCGGATTTCAGGGAATGCCCTGGTTAGGCAAGGGTCCATCTACCCCAGCCACTGCAATTAAGCGAGTCTCCTCTACCCTGGGTCTTCTACCGCTGCAGCCGTTCCAGGTACAGTGCCTACCGGCTAGTGGACCCAACCTAAGTCAGCGGAGGATAGCCCACCCCGCGCAAGACCTCCGCCGGCCCAATCTCCACCCAGCGCGCCAGGATCTCCTCGCGATCCAGCCACACCGACCCCACCATCCCCGCCCCGTTGACCGCGACATCCGGCCGGTACCGATCCTTCGACCGGGGGATCACCATGATCCAATCCTCGACCAGGATCACATTGTGCGGGATACTCCCCTCCCCATCGCCTGCACCTCTGTCGCTGAACGCAGGACGCATCTCCGCCAAAAGCCCGAGGTACGCATCCAACACACCCTCAATATACACCTGCTCCTGAAATTCCGAGCGCGACAACGGAGCGCGGAAATGCGCAAAGGGGATGTCGCTGGATTTTGGCGTGGGATTATTCGGGAGGATGGTTGGCCCTGGTGCCTTGGTGTCGACATTTACACCCTTCTCTACGGTAGGCAGCTCAATGATTTGATCTATTTCTTCCTCGTCATCAACACAAGGGATGATATGCATGTGCTTGTGCTGGCGACTAGCGCCCGCCGTGCGCCCGCAGTTGAACATGGCGAAATAGCGCCGACCGTTGTCCTGACCCAATGCGCAGAGGACGGCGCGCGCGGCTTCGAGGTCCTCTCGATCCAAATTCTCGTGCTGGCGCCGGTACGAGTCCTGGGTAAGGAGGAGGAACTGCGGCCGGAAGACGCTGTAGCCGTTCGGGACGAGGATGTGGGTCGTGTGGATGGTGGCGATGATGAGGTCAGGCGTGGGGCAGGCGAGATCGCTACCCGGGCCGAAGGTTGCTGGTTTGGAAGATGCATCGTTGTTATCTTCATTATCGCTGTTGCTGCTGTTATCGTTATTGTTGCTGCTACTGCTGTGGTTGGTCCTGTTTTCGTTGGGCGGCTTCAGACCCTCGCCAGATTGGGGTTTGTTGGTGAGAGATTGGCTGATTCGAAATTCGAACTAGATTCGCGAGGTTAGATCGGTAAAACTCTAAAGGAATGGTGGGTTATGTACGTGAAAGTTGTCAACTTTGAGGCGCACGATCTTGGAGGGGGAGTAGACGACGAGGCCGCGGCGGACTAATGCGTCGAACTCCGATAGGGCTGCCGCGTTGGTGAGGGTCGACAGGTTGTGTTTAGAGCTAAAGGATGGGGAGGAAACGGTCACTTCATTATCGATAGCCATATTGGGGATAGACGTTGATGTGAAGGACATGCAAGCACGAGCAGGATGTGTGCAGAGTGGAAAGACTCGGTAGGTTGATTAGCAATGCTATGCTAGCAAGGGGGCTGGGATCCGGATAAGGCTGGAAAGGGCCATAATGCAGGAGTGGGCGCCCATGCGGGCTGTGGCGCCCGTCTCGGGTCCCGACCTCGGTCCTTAGCCGGGTGTTGTGTCGGGGCGCTTGGACGCTTGCATCGAGCCGCTGCCTCTATTTGAGCTTCCACTTCCCTCGATGCGTCAGCCTGTCGCATGTTGTTGACTTTTGTAGCAGGCAATCGCAATGATTCCAGAGCCAGTTTGGAGAATTGGGATGCAACTCAATGGAGGTAAGTTCTAGGATTGCAGGTGGGCAGGCAAACTAAGATGTGATAGAGACCCGAGCAAGAAAACAAATACGTTGGAAGATCATGTGAATTAGAGCAGAGGTCTGATGAGTGTTCGTATAGAGTGCAGTGAGATGATCTTAAAGGATTTCGAGCTGCTCTGACTTCCAACCGGGGAAGACTCATCTGATATGAGGGCACGAGCAACTGCCGATAGTCCACGCAGTGCAGAACGGCGGGCCGGCAGCATGCTTATCTCCAGGAAGAGGTGGGATCCGCGGCAGAATGTTGCTGAAAGCGGTCAGAGGAGTGGACAGGGGCTCACCGCCGGGGTTGGAACGGGATTCAGAGGGCAGATCGCCCAGTCTTGGCGGCTCGGATTTGGAGCTGCGCTCTCTGGGTGAACACCGGTGTTTCCACAACTCAACAGGAATTTGCTTCGGATTTCTACCAGAGACACACTCGACAACATGCGATCGGATTCTTTCTTCTGTAACACCTCGAACCTCGTCCCTGCAACGTGCTCGGACGGGATTAGCAGGAAACACGACCCCCATCCTCAATCAGCGATGAGCCATACTTAAGACTCTCACCTGTATAGTTCGTCCAAAAAAAAATGCCGAAGATCCAAACACAGACCGGATGCAAGATGATACGGTCACCAACTCTCGACCATGCATCCCCCTACACCTCCACCATGAGTGTCATGGAGGAGGGGGAGAGCATCAACAGCGACCTGCCTCCGAGTCGCAAGACCCGCGACAGCTGCGACGCCTGCGCCAAATCCAAGGTGCGCTGTGGCAAGCAGCATCCACGATGTGATCGATGTGTGGCACGCAACAAGCCCTGCAACTACGGCTTCATCCGACCACGAGGGCGGCGACGCCTGTCGCAGATCCCCCCCGGGGGCAATCTCACCCCGGTCACGGACACCCAAAATAGTTCGCCCGACCGGGCGGACCCCAACAACCACAACAACTTTCAGCACATCGACCTCTTCAACACACTGGGCTACCAGGACCTCGAGGCCATCGCAGAGAAGCTCAACGACTACTCTGCGACCGACCGGCTCCTCGCCAATCCGCCCACCAGCGTGGGACACAATGACTTCCAGCTCATCGACGACTGGCAGACGATGGATCAGGAGCTGCAGCGGCTGCTCGACATCACCACCCCGCAAGCCACCCCGGTCCTCGAGGTCACCCCCCACCAATCCAGCTCGCAATCCAGCATCCAAACCGGCCTGTCCTCCCTCTCCACGAGCTCCCCATCCTCCACCTCGTCCCCGTCTCCCAGCATCTCCTCCCTCCACGGTCAATCCTGCATCACCCTGACCTTCAACACCCTGCAAGCCCTCCACCCCCCGTCGGACAAATGCGTGCTCAACTCCAACGCACCGCCGCCCCGCAGCCTCGACGCCGTCCTGCACCTCAACCAGAAAGCCATGAGCAATCTCTCGCTCGTCATCGGCTGCCCCTGCTCTCTAGACTTCAGCTTCGCGCCTCTCATCGCGCAGGCCATCTCCAAGGTCCTGATCTGGTACCAAGCCATTCTGGACGGCTGCGAGGCGATCCCCGAGATGGCGTTCATGCAGCCGATCACGGCGCCGACGCGCGTGCGCGTCCTCCCCATCAAGATCGGGCAGTTCGAGCTCAGCGAGGGCGACCACCGCCGCATCGTCGCGCAGATGGTCATGAACGATCTGGAGAAGGTGCGCGGGCTGGTGGAGAGCTTCACGCAGTCGTACTGCCGGCGCGAGGCCTCGCCCACGGACGCGGACCAGTCCATGTGCTTTATATTGGAGTCGGCGCTGCGGCACAAGTTGAATGATACCCTTGGTTCTGCGGTTTTGAAAATGACGGATTGAGCTTTTGGAGGGTGGGTCGGGTGTTCGATATGGGGGGGTTCTTTCGGGTTACGTGTATATGGAGTTGGAGTTGTGGTGTTTCTATGGGGGGGGGCTGTCTGTTGTATTATTCCCAATGATGATGATTTTTGATGAACAATGGATTTCTTATTTCTTTTCTTGGTGCTTGAGCTTTGACTGGCGATTGTTTGCGACTGGGAAGGTGGCGTGGTTCCCTGTATATTGCCCTGATGCTATAACTTATAGAGAAAGACTAGAGAAGCGGACTGCGGAGTCTGACTACGGGAGCAGCAGCGCATCGATCTATCTGTACCAATTCAATGGGATTGTTATGGTCTCTTTCTAGGTTTGTTTCCTCTAGGTTTAGAATCGGTAAATGCAGAACCACTGAACTGTGAGCGATGGAAAATCAAGACCTCATCTTACAAGCAAGACTCGTGCTCTCTTCCGTCCCTACGGGACCCTCAAAGGTTAGGTGGCCATACACAAATTCTTCCCATTTCCAAGTCCATGCATAATTACATCAGGAATAAAGTGGTGAGCATTACAGCAAGAGCTTAAAAGAATGAACTCACTTGACCGTCATGTTTTAGTCAAACGCTGGAGGGAGTGGCTAAAGGTCTCTGCTCATCCGCGCAGACGTCGCCTCTACATGTAACATAGTGAGTGATAAGCTCGCGTTCGCAATTCAAGGATAATGATTCCAAACTAAGGATCTTAGAATTCCAAACATAAGTCTAGTCAAGTAATCCGCGCTCGAACGGGCACATTTTCGGCACAAACCACCACTACTTCTTATCGATTCGCAAACGTCTGCAGGCATAGATGGTTGGTCATGAATTCTTCAAGTGCTAAGGTCTGAGACCCTCGGGAATTATGTAGTACATACAGTAGCATGGGGACCAACCAACGACAGCTAGCAGACTCCGAGTGAAGTCCGGCCCGGAACTGCCCGGATTGTCCTTGTTTGTTGACGGATTGAGACTAGGCACTACTAGGTAGTCCGCCAGGCGAGTGAGCCGCGCACTGTTGCTATGCTACCCAGCTAAGGTACTCCAGGCCTGGACCACGTCTCCACGGGTCTGGCTCTCTTTAGTTCAATTCCGCAATCCCAACGCCTCAAGCTGACATAAGAAAGAGCCTGACAATCCCTAAGTCCGGGGATCGGGTTTGGTCGGAGATTTTTCAGACCCAGAATCTGGTAAGGTAGGTGTCTTCAGCACAACAGCTTACTTGCATTAGCGTGGCACTATCCCCCCCCCATCAGGATCCACTAGTTTACTTGTCGGTTGGCGGTTGTCCATTACTGTTCTACCAAGCAAAACAAAAACAAGGAAGATGGAGAATGCTTTATCTCAGATAGGAAACCGTGGTATTATCATTACTAACAGAAGCCAGAAATCTATGGACAAGTAACAGGAACAGAAACGCCGGGCCCAGTCATAAACACAGTCCACCACAAGGTGAAGGTGGAGTCACACCGTCAAGGTGGTACACAGCATGCGGTCGACGAGGGGGGTCTGTTGCAGGAAGCCCGTCTGGAACGTGATCTGGGCGTTGGTGTCGGCGACGGGGGCGTGCAGGGCCCAGAGGCGGCGGGTGAAGTCCTGGCGGGTCTGGCGGATCATCTCGTCGATGTTGTAGCTCCAGATGTGGCGGGAGCGCGAGTCGATCTCGTGGCAGATGTGGGCGGGGTCGCGCGAGTGCTGCCACTCGTACATCTCGCCGACGAAGCGGGAAGACTGCATGAGCCACTGGGTGCGCTCGAGGCGGATGTGGTCGTAGGTGGCCAGGGCGGCGGAGAGCAGCTCCGGCAGGCGGTGCGGGCAGGCCGCGCGGGCCGCCTGCGAGTGCACCGCCTGCAGCAGTTCGACCAGGGCGGCGGCGTCCTCGATGCCCATGCCCGCCCCGGCCCCGTGGTGCGGCGCCGACGCGTGGGCGGCGTCGCCCGCCAGGCACACCCGCCCGTTCACATAGGTCGGCGCCGGGTTGGCCGCCATGTCGAAGATGGCCCAGCGGTGCAGCGTCTCCGGCAGCAGGTCGATGATCCCCCGCGTGAACGGGGTGAAGTGCTCGAACGCCTTCACCGCCTCCTGCTTCGTCGCCATCGCCGTCAGCTTCTCCTCCGTCCACTCCCCCTCGTCGTGCACGAACGCCACCACGTTCAGCAGCAGCCCGCTGGCCACGGGGAAGGTCAGCATGTGCGCCCCGGGCCCCATGTACATGTGACGGTTGTAGGCCCGCTCGTGGCCCAGCAGCGGCAGCGCCTTCTCCATCGGCACTAGACCCCGGAAGGCGTACTTGTGCGTGTAGCCGGCGTGGGCGGCCGGGTGGTTGTCGCCCAGCACGAGGCGGCGGACCTTAGAGTGGATTCCATCGCAACCGACGACTGCATCAGGATTAGCCATTGCTTTTTTAATGAAGGGGTAGAACAACTCACCAAGATCCGCCTGCGCAGTAGTCCCATCCTGAAACCGCATCAGCAGCTTCTTGTCGTCGCCGCGGTCCTCCACCGCGACCAGGCTCTTCCGGAACTTGACCCGGTTCTCGGGGATGAGGTTGAGCATCTCGTTGAGGAACTCAGCGCGGTGGCACCCCTCGAAGCCGCGCTCGCCCACGTACATCTTGTAGATGGGCTCGTCCAGGTCGCCCTCCTCGCGGTTGCCCGAGTTGGACCAGGTGAACCAGTCGGTGGTGTTCTGGACGGCGACCTTCTTGAAGGCGGCGTGGATGGCCGGGTCGAGCACCTTCATGGCCGACTCGGCGTTGGGGGTGAAGCCGATGCCCGCACCCACCTCGCTGAAGGCGTTGCTGCGCTCGTAGATGGTGACGTTGATGTCGCGGGCCAGGAGGCCGATGGCCAGCGCGGCGCCGACGATCCCGCCGCCGACGATGGCGACGTCGAGGACTTCGTTCTGGGTGGAGTGAGACATTGTTATTGTTATTTGGGGGGGTGGTGTGGGTTGTTGTGGAGATAGAGTGTGTATATGATGATTGATAATCAAGAAGCTTGGAGGCTTTTGTTGTTGTGGAGTGTCTTGATGATGATGATGAAGCTGTTGGAATTGCTGTTCTGGGACATGCTGAGGATCTGGATCGCGAAAACCATTATATACATAATCCCACTTGAGGCCAACGGGATGTTGGAGCCCCCGAAATCTGAGTGAGACGTTGAAGCCCGAAATGCCTGTTCACGAATCACGAAATCCCAGATTCCGGTTCAGCAGTCATGGGCTGTGGGCGACGGAATCTCGTGGAGAACCCGATACATGGTCCAAGTCCGGGGGTGCTCGGGCCCCATCGCTCATACCATGGGTCTAGCGTTGGTTTCTTCTCTGCAGAATAGCCCTGCTTACCATGATAGAAAGAGAGCTTGGCTCTTGGTGTCTGTGTCCAGAGGCTAGTAAGTCTAGCTGGGGGTGAAGAATTGCTCTAGGGCTCCCAAACACGAGGGAAGTCCCGCCGCGGGTTTGGGGCCTTCCCACCTCAATCCCGTTGCCCAATGAGCTGGCCCGGAAACCACCGCGGGTTTCGCGCCGTTTCTTTCCTCGTGGCCTCATCGCGCCTACGACAGACTCAGGGAGCTGTACGCTACGGCACCAGCGGGGTTGACTCTGGACTCTGGAGTTATCCTTTAATTCCGTTGCTGGGTCGGTGGGTGGGTAGGAATTCCAGTCCTCAATCAATTCCACAGTGAATCCCGCCTTTCTTGCGCTCGCCCCTGACCCCGCTGTCCCCGTTTGGTCTCGTCGCTGGTCGCTGGTCGCTGGTCTCTAATTCTAGGACATCGGTCGGAATGCCGGGGTGGATGTCTGTGCTGAATGCCTGCTGACTACTACAGCTGGTCTCTTGCTTGCCACTTGTGGGGGTCCCAAGTAAAGTCTTTCGGGCTGTTGTAGAATACACCCTAAGTGATTGGGACGGATCCCCTGGTTAGTAGCCAAAAGAAGTATACCAGGATCAGCTCGAATCACAGCACGTTCACAGTGATCATCGCATGTCGATCGATCTGAGCGATCTTGAAGCTCATGTTCTCTTTAGGATAGGGAACCTGACGATCGCGGATTTGGCGGGTGTCTACAAATCCCTGGCTCAGTGGCTGTCAGCACCAGCCTCAGCCAGCCTAGCCCTAGCCACGTGGCGGTCACCTGATCATAGTATCCTCATAGTTTGTAGTAGGGTTTGTACCTTATCGTTGACGATACTTGCAGGTATATACTTACAATAGGCAAGGAAGTAGATGAGCTTGTTTGGTCTGTAGGTTCAATCTTCTAGGGCTATCTAAACAGTAATCTATGTCTATGGAGCGCCGAATCCATGTTCTGTGTCTCCTAGGCTATCGTCGTGAGATGAATATATATATACACATATACAAGTATGTGTACGTATGCATGCTATGCCATGCTGCAATCATAACCAAAGAATAAGCTCAGCACTATGTCTCAACGAACAGCCTTGAACAACTAGAAATTAAGATTACACTCATCATATCAAAACTAAACTCTGCAAACCCTCTAGCGTCAACTCAGTCCCCAATCCTACCATCAGGGACTCAAGGCTTAGCCGTGCAAGGCTCTACGGAGCCACTGCTACTCTGGCCACAGCAACCACTCACCCCACCTTAGCCCCGAGATAAGCCCCAAGGGCCGTGCCTGGTGCCTTACGGTCCGAACTTGCCCCCGCGAGACCCCGGCTGATCAACGTCGGTCCGTAGGTTTCGACGCTACGAAGTACCGGGTCTCAGATCGAGGGACAGGCTACTGCGCGCGGTCCCTGCAGGGCAGGCTAGTTGCAGGCTAACTTTGAGGTCGTCGCACTTAGGATAAACATCTTGATCTACGGAACCTTCCCTTTGCCCCATCATCACAACGCTGGTGTGTATCGAGTCATGTCATGTAATAGAACCACCCCAGCACCCTGAATACTGGTGCCAATACCGGTCAGTACCCTCATGCTCAGATCCACGACTCCTCACTCAACGCCCGGAGCGACCTGACCACTACCCTGGCGAGTATCCAAAGTCCAGAAGTAGGTAGTCATCCACGTAGGTGATCACCATATACACACTAGCTTCAGCTCAAGAGAACACTCACCCCCGCAAGAAACGAACTACTAACCCCCAACGAACACCAGTGACTCGTGAACATCACCCGAACGGAAAGCACATGGCCGAGCCCAGGTGGAACACCCACCCACCCAGTAGAACCACAAGGATAAGGCAGACTCATCCCTCTTTCTACGGTATCTAACCGGGATTCAGCCCGGATTTCAGACCACAGTCCATGTGTGCACTCTCGCCCACTAGTCCCATGGCAGTACACAGCCCTCCACACGCATCTACCTCATCACTAGAGAATACACAATGTACACAGCAAAGACCCCACGGAATTGGACTTCGGAATTCAAGTCATGTTGAACCCCCCTCGCCCTTTTCCTTACGCTCTAGCCAATGGCAGATCACAACCAAGCTGGACACGTTAGTCAGAGAGAGGATGAGACATGGCCTGGGTGACAGGGACGGGTCATGGTTAGGGAATGCTCGTCGGGGTTCAACTTTCAATTCCGGGAGCTGTAGTTTCAAGCAGGAGGAAGGGTAGATCAGGGAGGAGGCTCAGGCAGGTGGCTTAGAGGGGAGTCTAGGGCTGAGCAAGCTGCAAGGCCCTAGGAGAGGGAGGACAAGAACAGGGACGGGGGCAGGCGCAAGCATACTGCAGCAGGGACGAACGGATTTCAGAACCCCAATCCTAATCCCACTTCTCAATCCCCCTCCAACTAAAACTACTTGAGACAGAGCGGTCGCGTCTTCTCACCGTATATAAGTGCACCAAACCAAGAAGCATGGAAACCACAATGCATTCCAATCCATAGTTGTATAGATAGTACCCAAACCCGCATAGATACCAAAACACACATCACAAACCCAAACCCCCTCTTCCCCCCAAAAACCCAGTAGCCCAGTACCCCAAATCCCAATCCCATCCTCAATCCCGTATCCATCAATCCCCAATCCCCAGCGCAAAGTACCGTGGAGTGACAGTATGGGCACCTACCTGTAGTATGCTAGCCCCAATACCGAAAGCTCACCGCCACCGGATTTCGGGATTCGTGGGGTTGGCGTGGAAGTCCGGAATCCGGTGCCCCCCAAACAGGAAATCCGGTTTTTCTTTGGGTTTGGTTTGGTTTGGTGTACAAGGCTGCGTAGGTAGGGTAGCTACCTAGTACATACCCTTCCTTCGGGCTTTTCTACAATGGAAAAAAGATCTTTCTCACTCTGGTTGACTCGACGGATATTTTTTTCTTCTTCTTACTTCCTTACAACAATTCTTGTTGACGGGCCGAATGCAGCAGAGAATCGGATTTCTTCAATGTGTCTTGGGACTGGGGTTTTGGATAAATACCGGTCGAAGGTCTCCTTTCTTTCTCTTGTCGATCGTGGAATATCAAGCATAGAGCAAGAGTATGGGGTGGGCAGCGGACTCGTGCCGCTGCGCTGCAGCGCGAAACCCGACGGTCGGTTTCTGGCTGCAGAACAACAACAACTATCGCTTCAAGTGAATGACATCATTCCCGCTCTCTGGAATGATGCTCGGGGTTTATTTGAGATAAGTTTCCCTACTGGTTTCCTCTTCTGAGGGCTGATGCTATGGAACAGATCTTGAATGCAAAGATTTGGATTCGATGCCAACTCTATTCGACATCCAGCATGCATGCATCGGCATATCAACGGCATACATGCAATCAACGATCTAGCGTGTTTATAGACGCAATAGACGCAAAGCTTAACAGCACGACTCCAATACGCCACCCCATCATCTAAGGATTCTGCGTCTTCAAGTCCGGTTCTATCTTCCCGACAACCAAGAAAACTATGATCCACCACAGGTGGATCATATCGACCCACCCAGTACCTGTTGAAGTTTCTCCCCAAGACTGTTCACCCACGTGAGATTTCGCAGCGTATGGAAGACCTCCTGGAGCTTAGCGCAAATGGCTCCGTCGCGGTCTCTGTACGTGTTGCAGATATCAACGCAGAGGCTCAGTGGAATGTGGGTGAAGGGGTGAATCTATGCAATGTCAGTCCCAGCTCCATATTTGCGACTGAAACAAAGTGCTAATGTTCTTACCTTGAAGGAGTTGACTTTGTTTAATATATTTGCCAAATGGACCATCTCCTGCGCCTCCAACAACGCAGCATGGCCATAATCCGGGAACGGCGACATGTCGTCCTCCGGAATGAATTCATATGATGTGAGACTGAGAGTGTGATAGAGGTACAGCGCCGTCGTCGACGCTAGGATACGTGTGAAAAGAAACATAGGGTCACTGTTCTCAGTGAACTTGGGGGTATTGAAAGAGAGGATGTTGATTCGTTGCGTGATGGTGTTATGGATCCATTCGTGGCGGTCATGAAAGTTGGAAGAGTCGTGTGTGAAGGTGTTCTCGAGACTGGTTTGGTAGTGGTGGATGACGGCGCGGCCGCAGACCGTCGTCGTCATGATACATTCAGCAAAAGGAGAGGTCAGGCGCGGCCCGCCCGAGGTGATGGCAGTGGAGAGAAGCTCCATATCGACCCGCTGTCCACTTTGAAACTCTGCTTCGGGGGCAGGGAGGCGAGTGGAGATCTAGTCACAGGGTCAGTGGGTGTTTTCAGGAAGCAGAAAAGGGACGCACCAGGTGCTCAATCAGCGTCAAGGGTCGACCATCACGCATGCTGAGGAATCGGTCCAAGCAATACGCCATCCAGAACATCCGCCGTCGCTCCTCGACCACCACCCAGTCCTCACAAGCAGCAAGCCTGGGCGACGATGGCGCATCAATCTCATACAACCGCATCCGTTGCACAAGCCGGAAGGCATACCCCGCCCGAAGCCACCCGCGTTCATCGTACGACGTTATAGACTCGTGCATCACCAGCAGAATGCACGCCTGCAAGTTCTCGATCTCTATCTCGTCGATCACATTGTCCCCGAGCATCTGCAGATCCACTCGAGATCGTGCTTCGTGGTAAAAAGCGCTGGCTACGTGCTGAAGCTGCCCGGAAAACGAAGCTGCCAACGTCCACATGGTGTATTGAAGAGCAGTCTTGGCCTCACTCTTGACCCGCTGGCGACTCCAATCCATATACCGGCCTTGATGAAGAATGGGGGCAAACACATGCACTCGATCGAAGTATAGTTGGTCCCTACCAATGGTCGGTCAGCAAGGGACATGCAAATTCTGAGGTGCAGCCCCTTCTCGTCTCGACTCCCTCTAGACCTTCTGACCGAATGAACAGGAAGACTCACAATTCTTCACGCATCCACATCGGGACCTCCGTGACAGACATCAGCAGTTGCGGCTCCGTGGGCGGCGAGTCTAGCAACGGCTCAATCCCCTCCGGTGACAGGAATGGGATCTTGTCCATCTTAATATTGTCCAAAGTCGATTGCACTTTGTAGACGCTGTGGTGGACGGGTTCCTGCAGGAACAATCCATGCTCCTTGCCAAGGAGAAGACGCTCCTCAAGTGCTGCTGCTGCACGGTCAGACTCTGCGAATATCCAACATATGTTCACCGACAAGGACGCTGTCAATCCGGTGAAACATACCCATGCGCTGCTGCAGCTGCTTTAAGTGGCCCCGTTTGGGGCCTCGCTCCGACCGGGTGGCGGTAAAGTGACAGATGACTCCCGTTGCGGTACATACACCACAACTCGGGGTGCGTCGATCACACCGCAATTTACGACGACGACATTCCTCACAAGCTGATCCGGGGCTCTGTCGGGATTTCCGAAGGACGGGAGACTTCTGCTGCTGGAGATCGGGTGGAGACTGCGATGCCGACTCGGGCTGCAATTGGGGGGATGTTGACGACTCCCAATTCATCGTGAAATGATGAGAAAGGTGATAATGACAAGACAAGGTGTTGTCGTTGCCACGCAAGGGCGGGTGTTGTGGGACTTCGCGATGGCGGTTGAACTCGAAGATAGGAAGCGTGGTGGATGAAACGCGTTCTTTAATGGCCGAGGAGAAGCCCCATTCACAACGCAAGTAAGCCGGACCCTGGTCTGGGTTGCCTGCCAGGTGCTCTATCGGCGGTTCTGTTGTGATAGAGCTGAAGGAATACCTGGGGGATTGTGGAAAATGGGTAAAACGGAAGAAAAATATGCAAATGAATTAATGATTAATAGAAAGGAAAGAGGGGTGCGTGTATGGTCTGTCCAGATTGGGAAGGGGCACTTAGCTTAGATAATATCGAGGCCTTCCTCTCGTATAGACGGGGAGATTGTTGAGACTGGCCTAGCATTAGCTGCATGATCCGTCCATCACTCTCCGGCTAGAAGGATTCGCCGTTGCTTTTCGCCTTCACTCCTGGTCATGGGGGCCAAAAATTCCCTCCCGCCCGACAACTGGTATCTCCTTCTCTCCCTTTGTCGCCTTGTTGCTTGCTTGCTTCCTGGGTTGGTGAATACAAGACTGCCATCATGGTGAGTACTGGGAACTCCCATCCAGCATCTCTTTTCTCCGGGAATTTCCGCCTGGTACAAACGTGACTACTTATTTGGAAGATACGCTCTAATACTTTATATAGTTCTTGGAAGCGCTGCAAGTTTGGCTAACAAGTACTTGCACTGACAGGTCCCGAAATCCGTTCACAGTCCGAATCCCGTCCCGACGGAGTCGACTACGCTCGATCAAAAGACTTTCTTTAGCGGCAGGGGAGAAGGCTTTTGAGGCTAGTTCCTCTATGAGCATCGTGTTGGCCATGATGATGTGCCGGAAGTAAGGCACCTAAGCCCGTAGAGCATGGGCAAAAGATGCTTATCCCAACTCCAGTCTCTCATCCATGTGAATAGCACCATGCTGATGGATCTTCGGACTTATTGCTTACGGTACGATCCGAAGAATCGCTTCTGTTGCGCGTACGCTTATCAGCAATCACTGCGTGTGCACACATACACACATACTCGCTGTCCTCTTGCAGAACACTGACAGTGAAGCATAGACCATATGCGGCCGAATAATCCCAGTCACAGCAACGTGGTAGTCCCAGGATCATGCCAGATCAAAGTGGCATTTTTTTGGGCGAATTCTTCACTCGTTGATCCCTGCAACCCGACGACAAACAGAGCCTTGCCCCTCACACTCACCTGGCCCTAGTCCCTAGCTCGACCCTACCAGACACTATCTGAAGCTCGGGACCACAATACCCTCCGTGCCCACCTATGCTAGGGACTCATTCTCCTCTGAAACATCGCAAAGTAGCAGCCACTTCTTCAGAATCCAATCCCAGGCCGTCACCACACGACCAATCTTTATCCTTGCGATGAGTCTCATGCGGAATGCGTTTTGATTTGGTGGTCGCGGCGGCAACATATTTGGCGGCATTCGATATCGGACATTTGACGGAGCTGCGGTTTTTGGTTTGTCTGTGAGTAGGCAACCTTGCAAGACTAAGCTTACAATGCGAAAGGATTACCCGAACTGAAAATTAAAAGGGTATTTGAAATTTTCTAGCACGAATATTCGAGATAAGGACCAAAGATGCTCTTGCAACAACCTTAGAGAAGAATAGTTGGCATGAAATGATCCCCCACTTTCCACCCCACTTTCCTCCTCCAGCACGTTCCGCGTGGGATTTTGTTTTTCTTCCCTTTCACTTCTCTTTTCGTTTGTCTCTTCCTATCCTCGATTCAAAGCTGCAATGGAGATTTTCCCTACGGTCTAGAACGATCGTAATCCATTCATGGGTATACGCCGGCAGTCGCAGCCACATGGTGTGTCTCCACTGACTTAGCCCACCAGTCTATGACCATGTAGTAAGTGATTTGCTTTTCCAATGTGCGTTCTTTTTCAATCTCTATTTTTCATACTTATCAGAATCTCATTTTCCCCTACATTCTATTTTTTTCTCCGCGTGGACACATGGCTGACGATGACTGACGGATACAGGAGGATCTGGACGATCTGTCTGGGGACGCAGAAATACCGATCCCACGTTCACGACTGGTCTGATAGCGATGATCGACAGAGGCAGCTTCCTCATCCCGGATAACCTGCCTTTGCCCCTCACCCTTCTTTTCGCGATTTTTCTCTGTTACTGGGTCTGCAATGTCACCCAATTCGAGCCTCCTCGGCTCGAAAAGCCAAAAATAAGGGTCTGTGCAGGTCAGGATCGGAGCAAGCGGAGATCGCCGAATCATCAGCTCGGATGGCGCTGGCTTCGCCGTGACGATACCGGGCTAGCATTGATTTGGCAGGTCCTGTGAATCGATTGGGGCTCCAATAACAACCTGTCAAATGTGTCTTAGTGGGTTCTGACTAGAGATTCCTGGAAATTATCCTGGGGCAATCCTTTCTCTGAATCATGGCGGGAAGTACGTAGTTCCCTGGGAAGCCGCTTGCTGCTGCGGTGCCATTGTCGCACTGTTTCTCTCTCCATCGCGAGGCTGTATTGGGTCAGCCCGCTCGGTGAAGAAAGCAAGCAAGCATTATTTGAACGTTTGTTGCTCGGGTTTCACAAGCTGACCGACCAAAGACCTTAAGGTTAAGGCGCCCTGTTATATGTGCCAAGGGCGGCGCTTGGTGGAAGATACCGTACGTTTGCGCGTTGGTTTGTCTCTCGAAAATCGCTTGACAGAATGGCAAAGTGGTACTTCGTAGAGTAGAGTGTTTCTGACAGGCGTGACGCCAAGCGGGAAGGATCCATGCGCCAAGATCGTCGTCCAACAAGATCACGGACGATGCGATGGCTCCGACTCCGACTCCCACCTTCTAAGTTACTGAGTATCTTCCTCCTCGGCTGCCGGGAATCGATCTTTCGGCGGGCCGGCTTGTCCGTCCGTCCCAATTGATTAGGCCACTGAGTCTTTAGTCGACCCCGTTGTAGTGTCACAGCCCACGAGGCTGAAGGTTACTAGCCCACCCAGAACTCACACTCTCACGGCTAAATCCTCTATTTAGAGAGAGGGAGGGCTTTTGCCGGTTTGAAGGCAGAATTTCTACTGATTTACGTGCGTAAGTGGCGTTTGATCTTTTTCTCGTATGATCGGCGTGGTGTGGTGCTGATTTGCATACTTACAAAGGCACGGAGGCGTTGCAATTAAGGTGACTTTCGGGTTTGAGTTACACGTCGGGCAGCATGCCAGCACAACCTCACTGCTGCTGCAGATGACAACATTGTCGCAGATTACGAGGCAGATGCAAGTATAGTGGCAATCTCCAGTTTTGTACTCCGTACATGACAGACAATTGCTGCAGCGTGCAAATTTTCATCTCGGCGTTCCGACAACCCGGCTAGGTTGAGCACTAAACTGGATGGATAAGACCCGAGCATATGAAGCGATAAGCTAAAGTGCCACGAAGGGAAAAGCGTCACCTGTTGTATGCACGCACTCGAAGGAGGTTAATATACGATCTTGGCATTTGGGCTTGGCGAATGAAACAATGGCCGCGGCTTTGCGCACTTCTCCGTGGAGCATTGGTGGCTTGCAGGCTTGAAAGGGCCGGGCCTCCTGGCGCCTCCCGCTCTTCCTTTCCAAGTTCTGCGCGGAAGTTGCCCGGATGGAGAACAGTCTCCTTTCTCGGGTGCGGAGGTCCTGCACCCGTGCAGTTCACTTGAGGCCTCTAGCAATTGAGAAGCATGTTCGAGGAGATTCAAGCACCGTGGTGAGCAATGGCATTCCTGAATCTGACCCCCATGCTCGGAAATAGATGTCCAGGCCAAGTCTTCACGGTAGCAGTCCCGAGAAAACACATGCCGATCCACTCCATGGAGAAATTTGCTGAGCGGTCAGTGCTCACCTCGAGGCAAACGCTGATAGGCCGTTCTCCGCGACTTAATAACGCAACTTTCCAACTCGTTGCGCGGTGCGGGGCTGTCTACAGCGACCACTCGACTCTAAAGCCTCGAGTCGGTTCCACATACGGATATTGGTCCACGAAATCCTGCAGCCTTCGGTTGAGGCTCTACAGGGTGAAACACTCTTCGGTAGGCACCCCTCGATACAGCAAAAGAACGTATCCTAATTGAGCTTTAGTGCTTACGGAGGGCTGTGTTGGCGTACGCGACCCAAGAAATCCTAGTCTATGTGGCTGACTACTATAGGCCAGTTTGCCAATGTCACGTTACGCATAATTGCACGTGCTATAGATTCTGACCGGGCAGATATTGATTGCCTCGAACAACTGGAATGTTCTACGTCCAGGGCGAGCGAGCCTAGACAGGTAGTTAAGTGTTGTGCTTATGTCGTTTGGAATACACGAGAACGCAACCACTCACGCATGGGGGTCGAGCATGTCGATCGCGACTTAAGCTTTACTGCAGGTTCGCCGAGGTGACTGCTCAAGATGCTAGATTTCAATGTGCTTTCTGACTGTGAGTACTTATGCATTCGTACGTATAATTTGGGTCCCAAATCCACCCTCTTTGGCTCGTGGTGCTAACTGACACACACTGCCTGTCAGTTTAGGCTAGTGTCTTGTCGGAAAGTGGGTCCGACCATATGATAAAGTGGTTAACCTCCAGAAAGGCTAGCATTGCGACTAGACACCTAGGATTGAGTCTAACGTGCTGTATTTCGCTGAACCGTCGGGACAGACCGACGGAGTCATATTGGGCTACGACCAGTCCAGCCTGGCCAGGCATCGAATCTCTGCGGGTAAATATCCCGGTTAAATGGGTTGATACTACACTACTACTCATAGTTTACTAGGCAGTCAATCATGGTTTCCTAGAACCACAGAACCACCCAATATCCCTCCGCGCAAGGTTACAACCACAAGCGCCTCCCCCCTCTTCCCGGTGGTCTTTTGTGCGAGAAGCGATAACGTTCTCTTCCTTCCAACTTTAGCGATATTAAGGTGGTATTCGTCAGCCCTCGCGTGTCAAGGTAAATTCTACGCCGCTGGCCCCTATTGGGGCGAGATCAAGCCACTACGAGACTAATCCACGCACGTTGCACACTAGTCTCGAAGGTTAATCAGAGCCTTAATCTAACTTGCTAAGTACGAGGTTCCAAACTAGCCCGCAAGATACGATAAGTGAACAAGGTAAGCAGCCGTTGATCTGTCAGACTGTCACCATCTGCGTTAGACCTAACCATGTGGCGATCCAGTAACGAGGTTCGCGCACCGTTGACAGCTAATTTTGGAAAGGGGTGAGGATTGCACTGCAGTTGGTAAGATTAAGCGAAATTAGACTTCTGGATCCTCCTTCAACTTCATCTCGCACACTCAATCTGGCCCTGAGGCTCAGTTGTTGGCGGAAGAAAGAATGCACCAATCACAGAACCTACGAATGGCGACAGTCAGCCGTGTCCTTTTTGTCATGCCTCTGTGTAGGAAATTGACTTATCTTATGTTCATTTCATCTAGGATGCCGCTCTTCCTGTTGATCGAAGGTGAAGTGCTCAACATCCTAACACCATCGCGAATATCTCTCACCGAAGCTATGATAGTCGGAAGGAACCGGAACTCCATTCATTCCCAACCTGCTGCGATCTCGTATCCAGAAGCGAGCACAGGCTTTCTGCGTCCCCATCCCCACAACTTGCGCAGTGTCACCTCAAGAGTCTAGGTGTCGCTGGCGGGTCTCTCGAATCTTGATGCCAGTCTGCGGATCTCCTCCAGGCTTGACAACGGTTCGGCCCGATCCGGCCTTGTGCGACTTCCAATTCAGGTTTGTATCGCTGCGCGATGGAAATGAGGACTCGTGCTTGGTGACTGGTATGCCATGCCAGTCAAAAGAGCCAGTTGTTCAGTTTCCAGTCATCGATCCTGGTGGTGGAGGTTTCGCGTCTAGCGGGCGCCATAGTATTGTTCAGATAAGGTAACTAGGTCGGTCGCGACGGCAAGCATCGCAGCGTGCATAAATCCACGCTACTCTTAGTAGGTAGTACGTACATGAAGAAGTACGTACTTAGTAGTTACAGTAAGGTGCTAGTCTGCAAGAAGAATAGCATTAGCGAACTGGCCAATGAGAGGCTTGATAGTTCTTGACATTGTGGAAACTGCTGTCTCAACAACTTTCAAGGTGGACCGGTGGATGCGTAGGGTATGAAGGAATGAAAATAGCAAGGTCCTTCCGGTCGTCCGCAGATTGTAGCCGATTGTCGTTCCCTTTATTGTTCCCTCCTACGACGGAGCATTGCGAGGTAGGAGAACAGTGTAAGTCTGTGTCTACGCGTGTTTCTGCTACCACGGAACATCCACTACCACGGGAAGTTCACTGCCAGCAGTTCTTGGGGGCGTAACTTGACTTTCTTGAGTATGAATATGACGAAGGTGTGGTTTGAAGATGCACAGCATGAGACAATCATAAGCTCCTTCCGCCCCCTGGCACCACCGCTAATATAATCACATGCCTACTTTATCTCTGTAGTACGGAGTACTGTGTGCGTATTTACTTACTTAGCTCGTACATAGCTGTACTCGTTTGTACTACTACTACCAGTGAGGCAGCCCAACCCAGCACGTGCTCTAGTTCCAGATCTCAATCGGTGTTACCGAGCCCCCCCTCCCGACCGTTCCACCTTTTTGTCTCATATATTCAAGGTTGTGAATCCTCCGACTCTGACCCGCCAGTCCAGCTAGATACTTATGCCCTGGCCATGCTTGGCAATGGGGACTTGCTCGTATTTCCGCCGATCCCTGTCCCATCGGGCTGCCTTGCTTCTGCTTTGGGGACCTTCTGGTTGCCCTTTCGTCCTTTTCGTCCTTTTCGTTTGCGCATAGATGGCTTATCCGTACAGTCATCAATGCTGATTCACCGTGGCAATGAGGCTGTTGTCGGGTTGTTGAAAGACCCGGCTTGGCGGTGCACCAGTGGATAGGCTGTTATCATGGAGTACCAACAAGGTTGTTCATTTGCCACGAAGTCATAAATATCCCTTTCGCTGATTGACTGATTGACTGGTTGGCACACAGCATTGGTTTGAATTGATGGCAGGTTCTGTTCACTCACAACCATTGAACTATATAGTGACTGTGATTGGAGTAGCAGGCGCTGCCAGCTTGAGAAGATCGACAAGGTACTGTGATCCCTCCATCCTTTCTACGAATGGGACTAACTAGCCCTGTCTTCAAAGTAAGTTGTTTTCATTATAAGCTAGCTGCCAGAGTCAACCATCATTAGGTCATCCCGGAAAATGATTCTCAATTCAGCCCGAACCAAGTCCGAGAGTTCAACGAGGAAAGCACATGGTCCAACAATTCCACGTGTGGAATGCCAGAACGGCCCCTTCGGCCGGTGTGAAGGGCTACATGAGCTACCAGCAAGGGAGTACTAGGTACAGCACAATGCACACTAGATGGGAAAGCACAGATGTATCAACTACCGTCTAGTGCAAGTTGTGGTGCATGGGGCGGCCCACCGTGACGTTTACCATTCAGCATCCCCCCACCATACCCCCTCCCCCTCCTTATCGTGCAGCTCTTCAGGAATCGGTCTACCCACCCATCTAGGATTGCGGATGGGTCACGTAAATGCAGTCGCTCACTCAGCTCTAGTCAAGCTGATTCCGCAATCCGGGGGTCTCCTGCTAATGATTGCCGTGCCACGCGGAAGTCGACCTCCACTACAGTTTGACATGCTGACAACGTCTCACTTCAGGAAGACAATTGGCCTTGTACTGCGGTACAGTGAAATCGCGCCTTTCTTCAGGATGTTGATCTAAAAATCCTTTACCTTTCACAAGTACCTCAAGACAGAGGGATTGACAGGTGACTCACCCACCTGAAGTAAGGCGTGGCATGGAGCGACTGATCCTTCCACCCTCGAACTCGCCTTGGCCACCATCAGATCGAGCCTCCGCCCACCGTACCAACCACACAATCGCTGCATATACCGGCGGGGCGGCAAGTCTTGGGTTGAGACGATGTACAAGGGGCCTTGACTAGGTTATCGAGCCATATGGCTCCTGCTACACAGGGTCCTTGAGTAGGTAGTCGTGGAGAATGCCCGGCTTTTACCGCCAGTAGTCCGATTAACCACCGCATGTTTGTGAAAGGGGACAAATAAAGGCTGTCTCCGATTGACCTCGTTATTCCCTATGTATGCAGTCAATAAATATGGTTTAGGATATTCCATGGAAGCCATGAGGCTAGTGCTGACAGGATGGATTTACCTGTAGGTAAGACAGACGCTAGAACAAGTTCGGAGTTGGCAAAGTCCGAGTTGGTGAATCGGCGGGTTGGTGGGCTGGGCATGGGCTGGCTTCTAGGTGTTCCTTGTTCTCTCCCCCCCCGTTCCCCTCCGGTTAGTACGTACCTAGTAGTCTACCGACTCTAGCCTAGCTGTAGTTTAGTCGGCCGCCTGGAAACTCGCCCGCAATCCCAGTCTTACCACCTCCACTACTTTCTTTCCCTTTCACAACCAAACTCCTCCTCCTTCTCGATGTCTTCTTGATGATCAACATCACCCTTTCCTTTCCTCTCTTTCGACTAGATACTGTGATCTGATTTCTTATTTTCTTTTTTTGTATACTGTGCGAAGGAATTAACGCGGCGAAAAATAAAACGCCACTCAACCGGTCAAATGGCCTCGACAACTAACAGTATAAATGGCGAGGCTGTGGCCGACCCCGTCCCTATCGCCGTAGATCACGACTCGCCTCAGGAAGACACCTACCCTGCTCCCTACGGTCGCTCTTGCTTTAACTGCTCTCAAGCCAAGTGCAAGTGTATCTATCCAAAGGCAGGCGGTCGTTGCCAGAGGTCAGCTTAATTTATCCCATTCGCCGACCTCGCGCATACATGCATCTGTTTGTTCAAAGGTGGTGGCATTAACCATCCTCTTTCCTTCAGATGCCAACGCTTGGATAAAGAATGTCGCCAATCCGCTGCCAGTCGACGTTCAACCACGCGCAGGTCGGTTACCTCTTCCAAAAGCTCGGCCAAGATCTCTCGCCTGGAAGACAAACTGGAGGATTTGGTCTCGCTGCTGCGCGCGGGAGTCCAACCGAATAATGTCACGACCACCACCATGCTCGGCCTGCTCGGACAGCTGCCGGACAACCAGAACTCGTCAAACAGCAACGCCGCATCCCCTCCCAACATGTCCGACATCCCCATGGGCAGCAGCTCCGGACCCAGCCCAGTCTACGCCAGCCGCAACACCGGTTCCGCTTCCACCCCGGACACTAGCATTTCGGACAGCGGGGGCTCGTTATCTTCGGGCGCATCGTCACTGAACGCGATGGAGCCGTCGGGCTTGCAAGCAGAGGAATTGCTCACATTCTTCCAAACTCAAATGCTTCCTTATTTCCCATGCATGTATATCCCTCCAGGCACCACGTCGCAGAAGCTTCGGCGAGACCGCCCGTTTTCGTGGCTGTGCATCATGGCTGTCACGTCCCGGAGCAGCGCGCAAAGTCGCCCGCTCTTCGATAGAATCAAGCACATTGTGTCACAGAAGCTGGTGCATGAGTACTCGTGTCGTGACCTTGACATCCTTCAGGGACTCCTGATCTACCTCGGATGGTAAGGCACCCCGCCTCAGGCCGGGTTTATGGGTGGCTGACCTCGATTGGCTCAGGTCCAATCAGCAAGTTTATAATAAAGCCAACGTGCATGTATTCACTCAGCTCGCGAACGGCATTGTCTATGAGATGGGTCTCTTCAATCCCGAAGCAAAGGGGAAGCACGTACTCTTGTGTGTACACACGGAAGCACACGAGGACCGCGCAGCACCTCCCAGTCAGATCATGGAACAACGCCGGGCTGTCCTGGGATGCTTCCTGCTCACTTCAATGTATGCTATCGCCCTTCCTACTGTTGAGGCTATATGCTAACATCGATGCTAGCATCGCTACCTTCTTACAACAAAGCGATTCTCTGCGCTGGACATCTTACATGGACGAGTGTCTCCGTCTACTCGAAGAGCAGCAGGAAAGCATCAACGATGAGATTCTCGTTCAGCAGGTTCGACTTCAGTTGATCAATGATAAGCTTAGCTTGGGAGGGTTTTATGGCGCGTCATCTACGTCCCGGGAGTCGATGCGACCGTCGCCTGCTGTATACATCCGGCCGATGCAGGCTCAGCTTCAGACTCAACTTCAGGGAATTATGAGTAGAGTCCGACCCAACTCACAGGGATACAGTCAGTAGCCATTGATTCTTTGATCTTCAAATTAACCACTGACCAATATAATCCAGAGATTCTTCTACTGCATCACTACAACACCTCATTAAGCCTTTACGAGTCCGCTCTTACGAAAGGTGCCATTGCCTCCATCACAAACGTGAGCTACGAACATCTCGACTATCTTTATGGTTGCCTTGAGGCTACCAAGTCGTGGTTCGACGTGTTCCTGAGCATTCCACCGGCGGAGTATATTGGGTTTCCTTTCGCTATCTTCTCGCAGATGGTGCAGAACCTTGTGACACTCTACCAACTGACGACCCTGGACAACTCCGTTTGGGATACGACCAATGTCCGCCGAACGGCAGATATCATACAGATCATGAACATGGTGATATCCAATATGGGTCAAGTGGCGTCTCTCAATGGTATTGACGGTGATCCTGGTGGCGACATCTTCTCAAACATCGCCAAAACGTATCAGGCCGTACGCATGGGCTGGGAGACCAAGCTGGATCCCACTCCGCTGGGCTCACACGCGGCAAATTCGATTCCGTCGCTGTCGGTTCCAGCGCTCTCAGAGCCCCCGGATGCCCTGTCGGTGTCAGACACCTTTCCTCTGGTCGAGGATAACGACTGGCTCGCGGACATGCTGAGTACGATGGACAGGAATAACAAAGGCCCAATGGCTGCTATTCCCGGCGTCCCAGGCGTACCATGAGGCATGATGTGACTGCAACCGATTCCAAGTTGCCTCTCATCTGAAGGCATCCCATTATACGCACGGTCCGAGGTGGCGCGATGGGCTGAAGCCAGGCATTAGTAGGCCTCCGCTTCATCCTCATTGGGAGACCCCGCTGTCTCTACTCACGGGCTTCAACAGCGTCCTTTCCCTGCAAGGCAGACTACGCCGAGTTGGACGGCGTTATAGTCAAGGAGACTTCGTGTCGCCGGGACTTCTCGATTCGACGTCTATGATTTTCATGAAGATACTGTAATAATTGATCGGACCTGACATACCAGGGCTAGATTTGTTGGCGCGGGGGTTCCCTTTTATTTCGTCCTTGCTCCTTGGAAATTTGGCATCTGGCTTAGATTCCCCTTGTGCTTGTGGATGTGTATCTTAGCGTTCGTCGGGTAGCTATTGGATAACTAGACTTTGGTATCAATTATGGTCAATCACTATCAGCGGCGGCTTGCTGACTACCAGGTGGCTGGCGGTTTTGGGCCTTGGTTACTCGTGCTGAGTAGCCATGGAAAGAATATAGACATCAGGGCCATAGGTCTAGTTTATCTGGCAACTCTTGATGAGTTGGAGAGCCATATTCTAAATGGCCTAGTAGAAATAGACGAAGAGTCAATCTACACACTTTTGGCGACTGTTTCTCAGACTCGGTGGTTTCGACTTACCTGTGAAGTCTCTTGGACTGCATTGCTATAGAGGTTATTGGATCCTTGCCTTTTCATCTCTCCATGTCCTAGAAGAATACTCTGGGTAGTGGTTGAGGAGTCACGCTCCAGCGGAATGGCAAGCGTTCAGTTGTCCAGGGCCACAAAAGTACATAGACCATTCCACCTCTTGCTCAGCACTTCCCAGCAAAGGTACACTCCGCCGTCTCTGCTCGACAGGAAGACGCCTCCATAATACCCCGGGGAACTTCCGGGCTCCTGTGAGAGGAAGATGGGTAGGGTATTCTGTCTGTGTATGTACAGTATGCGTCTTCCGTCTCGGCTACTTGTATCTACTTCAATGGTAGTAGGGATAGGGCACAGCACGGCACAGTGAATGATGTCAAGGTTCACATGGGCATACTTAGACATTAAAAATAGAAAAGGGACATGCGATGAGAGGGATAGTTGATTGTTGTAAGCTCGTGGTACCTCCCTTGGTGTGGATCGCTTGATGCTTCGTGGCGTAGAATTGGGCTCTGGTTTTTTGTTGGGGGGTATAGGTTATGGGATTGATGCAGTGGATGCGTCTGGTTGTCTTCTGGTTCATGATGGGGGTGTTGTATGATGACGTGATGGGAGATACGTTAGGGATTAGGTTGGTGAGAGGGCGTTTGGCGAGCAGGGGTTTCTGATGCCATGGGTTTTCACCGATTTGGTTTGGTGTTCGATGATGCCGTATACGTATACAGATCAGCCGAGGTGTGGTTCGGGTTTACTAGCTCGTGGGTGCGACTCCGTCGACCACGTGGCGATGATGCGAGGTTGACGGTCTAATGCCGTCGATCATAAAGAACTCTACATAGAGAAAGAAAAAAAGGTAGGCAGGTAGGGGGTTGGTCGTTGCCATTCTCTCTCCGAGACGGAAAGACAAAAACACAAAAAGAAGAAGACACATGCACCCGATGGGGATTGAACCCATGACCTTCGCATTACAAGTGCGACGCTACTACCACTGAGCCACGAGTGCATCTGTGGCGAATTGGCTGCCGAGTGCGGTATCAACCGCACTCGGCGAGCGGGAGGGGAAGAAAATGTTAATGTTGCGCTCCGCAAAAACAACTTCCCAGGAAGTTGGTGATCCCAATGCACCGAATGGGGTTTGAACCCACGACCTTCGCATTACGAGTGCGACGCTCTACCACTGAGCCACCGGTGCTTGTATGACTAATACCCTGCCCGGGTAATGCTATCATGCTAGATGACAATGAATGGAGTGAAAGAAAACAGGCTCGAAGCAGGACAAAAAGAAGAAACTGAATGGTTGCATCTGATGGGGATCGAACCCACGGCCTTCGCATTACGAGTGCGACGCTCTACCACTGAGCCACAAATGCTTCAGTTGGTATGAATGGCGACTTGCATTACTTATGTATCTAAATGGGAAAAAGGCGAGTCTGGGAGGGGCTTGGGGGTGATGGTTTGGGTGCTATCTTGTGGGATTTGGGGTGGGTTCTGGTTTTTTTCGTTTATATTCCTAGATTATCTGAGTACGTAAGTTGATATAATTGGCTTTTGGTATTGTGTGTTCTTTGTCTTGGGAGCATGCTTGGTGATGAAAGGGCGTCGACATGTACGATGGCCAGTAACATATATGCAACCGAGTCGGGACAGTCCCCGGTCGTCTACCACAGGTAAACAGGCCAAAATTGTTGCTGAAACGCACTCAGCCCACCGAGTTGCGTATATTATATCGTGATATCTCATCGACTATTATAAAATAGGTATTGTTCATACCGGGTTGTCTGCAATCACAACCCCGCAGTGGACTGCAGCCAACCCTGCAAGGCTGCAACATCCACAATGTACGGAGTACGGTAGATAGATCTCATCGACCACCCCCCAGTCAGATCTGAGACGGCCATCGATCACCCAAGGTGCCTCCCGCCTACCGGCCCAGTAAATACTGCAGCTGGTTGCTAACAGTCACTAGCTCGGCCGATGCCACTCTATCCCCTACAAGCCAAGACTTTCTCGAAATACCTGCGGAACCCCAAGATCGAAAAGCCTGCAGCCTTGATATCGCCGAATGGTGAAGAACAAGGTAAGTTACTATACGCCGTGGGGTCTAGATCGGGAGCGGATTGATGTTTACCCCAAAGGAAAACAGAGGGGGATAATCTCCCCACCAACGATGGTGGTGTTGTTGCTGCAGAAGTAAACCCCCTCGGCGGAAGCAAGGGCCGGGCCAGATGTGAGGGTCACTGTCAATTGACTCAGAGTGTCAGACATCGCTGGATGTGCGCGAGACCTTCGCAGATGATGACGGTCTAGGTCTCCATGAAGGTCGAGACCGGTGTGAGTATAGAGGTGGCATTGGATGCGGACGGCGATCATAATCTCCGTCCACGTCCAATGCGGCTATATCACCATCAAACCGAAACCCATCCCTCTCGACATGTCAAAGCGAGTGCATAATCAGTCTGTGAGGCCGCATGGAATCGGAGTACCACCAAAAGACCTAGAGCCCCAAGCAGCGCGAGGGCGGTGGGTTCCTCGGCCTATACAGGAGCAGGGGAGAAGGTCAGCTTTCGTCGTAGGTAAGATACCACACCCAACACCAAGCCCCAGAGGATGATTGGTGAGTCAAGTTCACTCAGATATATTGCCCGACAAATCATCGCGAATGTGCATAGGAATTGAATGGGCATGCTTCACGGCAGAGCCTGTCGCCTAAAACGGGCCACGAAAGGTTTCCCAAAGACTTACACTTTCGAGGTGCCGTGGGCCAAGATGTCAATCCTCTTGGACCATCCTGTCATCTAGATACTGGATAAGCCAAGAAGCTGTCACCATTATGCGATCGGCTGGATTGACGCTCGATGCACCCTGCCGTTTCCCTGCGTCGAAAGTGATACTCGACATGTCGCGCCAGACAGAACGCGACCCCAAATTGTCCGGTCGATGATGACATATTTTGAAGTAACACGACCGACCGGTTCAGGGTTTGACACCCACTGCACTGAACCCTGTTGCCCAGCAGGCGGAATTCTGAAGCATCCCCTGACACACACGTGTGCGCCATAACCTGGTGGCAGTGCCGGTACACAAACTTACAATGTTGGCGGATGCGCCCTGATGTTTCAAGGGCCATGCCACTCGCAAGAGGTGTTAGGGCATCAGTCAAAATGTTTAGAACGTTCCATGGGTCGTGTGCACAGAAGTTGCTGTCGGAGAAAAATTCTGACAACTTTCCATACTCATTCGTGTCATTTGGACCAACATATTGGGACGTCTCTCTGGCATCCAGAGCCGAGTCGAAATATGGGTAAGAGTGTCAGTGAGCCTGGAACCACGGGTGAGATGACCGACCCCGACTTCGGGGAGGAGGATGAGGGGGGGCATGGATGGCACGATTCACCGGCCGGACCGAACAAACGGGACGCTGACTCCATAACTAGGCACTGGCGTTTTTCTCCCCTTCTCACTTCGCTCTTTCTTCTTTTCCAGGTTCTAAAGTTCTAGACTCGACTCCATCGTCGTCCCCATCATGGTCTCCATCATCGTCAAAGCAACCAAGGGGAAACAACGAAAGGCAGAAAGTGATCAACTCATTTCCACGCCCGTGTGCTGAGACAATCTCGCCGGGGGGGCAAAAGTGGACAGGCGTCTCGTCTCGATCACCCAATCTCCGCTTTCCAGTTGGGGGGATTTGGTCCAAGGTGAAACATTAGCGGGCGCCAGGCGGGCTCCAGATGGGCTGCCGAGTTGCCAAGTTTTTAGGTCGTCAATCATTGCTCTGGTTTGTTGGCTTCGTTTACTTTTCCTCGCATTCTAGGACCGATGAGGAAGTCAGTACGGTTACTGAGTAAGATTATGGGCTCTTTTTTTTTTTTTTTTTTTTACACTAGGATTCCTTGTTGATTACTAGGTATATGTGTAGGCCTGCTTTATTTCTTGACGCTCATTTGAAAGTGTTTGGGTGTATAGTGGTTAATCTCGCCGAGTTCCGATGGCTGAAGTTTAGTCAGGTCCCGAGTGTTGGCGGCTCTCCTGGTTGACTCGTGTATTGTGTGCACCACCAGTTGTCCACGGGCATGCACGGACATTAGTCTACCTCGTCTGGTCTTTATCTTCGGAGATTAAGACCAAACTGTCTCGACTCCTTTGAGTGTTTGTTGTTCCTCGTTCAGCTGACTGAACAATTAATTCGATAAAGCCGACACTAGATGATGTGAAGTGGGTAGACAATGAGGATAAAGAGCCATTCAAGCTACTATCCATACAATCATCCATTCACTCATTCAATCCATCCACTTATCCCCATCGTCAATCAAGAAAATGATAAATTCCGCGATGCGCAATGTAAAGATGGCCCAAGTGGAGCCAGCACCACCACCAATCACTCAAGTGATCGACTCTGATTTGCCCGATGGGGGACGGTACCTGAAACGGGCGGCGGCATCAACGCTGTTACTCGTCCCAATCGGGATTAGTGGCAGCCAGGGGGAAAGCACAGGAAACCATTCAATGTAAACGACCCAGGGGTTGCAACAACTCCTGCAACAGGAAGGGTAAAAAAAAAAAAACAAGAAAACATGAAATAACGAATCAACATTTTTTTCTTGGACTCTGACACCATAAGCAAAGAGATTCCTTGTGTTCCCTTGTGTATCAGAGCAGTCATGAGTAGGAATGTATCGGAGTGGAAGCATGAAGGATTCTAAATGATCTTCTCCGGTATGTGGTTGGGAGATCCCACGAGGAGGCGTCCATCGGAATGGACGCGTGAAGAGGCGCTTAGTCGCCTGGATATTAATGACCAGCGGGGACCTACCTCTTAATTTGAGCGTGCAAAGAGATTGAGCTCTACGTATGTCGTCTACGTTTTCTCTTGGGTGACTGGAAGAGAAAAAGGCGATGCCTCCCACTCTCCCACCCCCAATCCCCGGCCCGCCTCGTCATCGAGATCGGTCTGAAAAGACTAAGACTATAATCACTCAACAACTAAACACCCACTATTCACTACTTTCTCTGAACCCACTGGTCTGGTGCTTCTGAGAAAAAGCTTCCCCGTCCGAAAGTAATTTACTTTTAATTATCAACGATCGCCCGACCCCACCAGGGACACGCCGCCCGCTGGAGCCCTTCTCCTTTCCGTCATTACCTGCCCGCCCCAGAGAGATCCCGCCGTCGCCGTTCCAGACTATATTATCACTTCCTCCTCCATCCCTCCCCCATCTCTTGTCTTTTTCTTCCTTACCGTTGGCCTCACCTCACCTCACCCCCCCAACTTTTGCTTCTTTCCCTCAACTTTGCCGTTGGTACACTTTTTTCACTCTTTCAAAAAGTGTTTTCCACGGCGGTCACTCTTTTCAACCTGTCTATACGCACCCTGGTGATACGTACATACTTTCCCTCCCTCCAACGCACCCACCTCTCTCGCAGTCGATCTGCTTGTTGTTTAACAGAGAACACTCTTCGTGCTTTCGAGTCCTTGCCTGGTCCATCGGTCAAATAGCTTCCCGGAGAAGTCGTTGCTTGCAAACGGACACAGTTGACCTGTGAAAACACATCTCAATCTTCATCAAAACAGTCAAAACAACATCAACCACTCAACATGCGTTACTCCCTCGCTCTGAGCGCCCTCTGCGCCGCTGGCGCCTTGGCCCACAATGTTGACAAGCGTGCCTACGTGACTGACTGGACGGTCGTGACCCTGACCACCACTATCACCGAATACCCCGCTGCCGCCGCTACCACCGCTGCTGCTGCTGCTACCACCACCGCGGCCACGAGCGCTGAGCCTGCAGTCCAGGTTGCCGATGTCGCCGATGTCGCTGCTGAGGCCTCCACCGTTGCTCCCGTCGCTGCGGTTGAGACCAGCTCTACTGTGGCTGTCCCAGTTGTTGAATCGACCTCGATTTCGACGAGCACAACCGAGGCTGCCCCTACTGTTGCTGCCACCACCGAGGCTGCTACCACTGAGGCTGCGACCACTGCGGCCCCAACCACCGAAGTTGTTGCCACCACCCCTGTTGTGCAGGAAGCTGCTGCCAACGGCGCCTGGACCACCGCTTGGACCTCTTACTGGACTTCGTCCTGGACCTCTGCCGCGGAGCCCACCACTCTTGCAACCTCCACCTCCACCACTGAGAGCGCCAGCAGCACCGCGACCGCCAGCACTGCTTACCAGTCCGCTGTTCTCTACAATCACAACATCCACCGCAGCAACCACTCCGCGAGCTCCTTGGATTGGGACTCTTCCCTGGAGTCCAGCGCTTACACGCTTGCTGCTAAGTGTGTCTACGAGCACGATACGTAAGAAAGCCCTCGAACCCACGCTCAAGATCGATTGCTAACCATTCACAGTACCATTGATGGTGGTGGCTATGGTCAGAACATCGGTTACGGTGTCGAGTCCAGCGCTATCGGCGAGATGATCACCAACTTGATGTACAACGACGAGATGGGCTACTATGCCGATCTGTACGGAGAGGCTGACCCCGACATGACCTACTTCGACAACTGGGGCCACTTCTCTCAGATCGTCTGGAAGGGTACCACGAAGGTCGGTTGCGCCACTGTTACCTGCCCCAGCCTGGGTAACGTTGATGCTGCCGAGGCATTGCCCTTCACTGTGTGCAACTACAGCCCTGCCGGTGAGTATTCTCTGAGACTCAAACATGATATGCGGTTGACTAATGGTGTGAAATTAGGTAACTACGCCGGTGAGTACGGCACCAACGTCGGCAAGCCCCTGGGCAACGCCATGTATGTTGCTTCGTAAGGATTGAGACGTGCTATCTTGTTTCGCGCGACTGTGTTCGGAGACGACGGTCCTATAACTTTCCCGACATGCAACAACCAGGCTCTCGAAAGCTATGACGAGTAGCTGGCCCTGATTGTGTGGAGTGAATCTGTCGACATGGTTCGAGTTATGCCTTGGTGTGAACTTCAACCCCTGTGGCAAGGATATGGGACTACCCCCGGATAATTGACCGTACGCGAGCAAACCAATCGAACAATGAAATGTCTGACACTTTCTCGGTCTTTTCCTTTTTGCATCCTGTTCTTCTTCCCGCTTTCTTCATGCATACATGACCTGGTTAATGTTGACTTTGCGTGTATGTGTGTTTTCTGCCCGTTGCCTTTCCATTTCGTGCTGGTATGGTGCCCGTCCAACTCCGCCAAGCTTTTTTGTTGACGTGAAAAAAAGAGTGAACGATCTGCAGTGCCTCCATTCCTCAGCCAAGCCACACCCATGGTGGAGACTCCACTCGGCCAGACCTGGCAGCACATGTTGGGCGACTTTTATTTTCTTCTCTTGTGCATATTTACTCACCTTGGTTCACTTCATGAAGCCACGTTCATTGTAGTGCCATGAATTATTTGATTGACCATCTTCTCGTGCTGTGTGATTTAGCTTGCATTCGGGTGTTTTGAGCGTGTATCTTCTCATGTGGCTATGTGTGCCCTGAATGCTGCATAAGATTTGATACTTATTAATGAATTCAATAATAACCTGATATATGAAGTAATAGTGGGTAGATTGACTGATAATGGCACTGATGCAGTGCTAAGCAGTTGGATATATGAATCTCTCCCATGGAGTTTTGTTTCTCAAGACTACTTGCCTGAGGCACCACGGCAGTACTCCAGGCCCGTCTCTGAAGGCAGCGAAGAGTGCACAGATTCTCTGCGCAGAATGAGAGTAGTATCTTTATGATAGCCATGCTAATGGCGGGTCTGGCAGTATGTCATCATGAACGATCTTCCGCCGAAGAGATGTACTCGTATCAGTCCTCCTCGCCCGAAGGGAATGTACAACTCTGCCTGAGGCATAAAAGCACTGCCTACCGCCTTGGGACAAGAATTAAGGTTCTGGGGAAAGAATCACGGCTTCGATCCCCCGCAACCAACCAGACGAACCTCCCTTCGCCCGAAACGTCATCAGCCACCTGGGCATCGGTGCTGCCGCTGCGACCCTTGGCCTCGCTGCATTGCATCAAATCAATTAATTGATCGTTCAATCAGATCAATAAATTTCTCAACCCTGGTGCTTCGGCTCTGTCTCAACTCGTGGCCACATACCGCTTCCGATGAACTAGCAGCTACTACTATACCTAGGCAAGGTACTAATCTCTCGCTAGACTCGCTCACCCTCGCCATCTCATCTATCTCATCTATCTCACAGGCTTCCGATTGGGTGTGCTACTTGTTCCCCCCAGTTCGTATTACGGTCATCATCATTGATACCGGTGCTTGGTGGCTTTTACCGTCTTTCACATGACGCTCACTGTCTCTAGCTGCTGGCATTGAAGCCCCCGCCTCTTCCATCACTTACAGCTTAATCCCACAGGCGCATTCCTCCCCCGCGGGAAGGTATAGCCTCAAGCTGAGTGAGAATCGGTGATATCTTGATTGTGAGTTCTCGAGCCCGCTAGAGTTTTGATGCGTTATCTGCATTCTGCATTCGTTGCCATGTTCTTGGCAGACAGGCAGGACCCTTTTCTATGCCTTGTGCCCTCTGCCCCGTCATGTCTGCCCGCCTTCCTCCGTTCCCCCGATCCGACCTCCATTACCTTAACCTTGGACGTGGCTGCGGATGGAGTAGCCTGCTTCGAATGCGCAACCGTGGTTCGCTCGTTTTTGACTCGACCCTAGACTGTGACCGTCCCTTCGGCGTCCGGTCAGTCTCCCATTTCCCCGCGCTGAGACGCTAGCTTCTCCCTTATTCCCGAATGTACCTGGGGCTGTCATCCCGACGGCCTTTTGGCTGCTCGTTCCTTAATAAAATGCGCCGTCCTCGCTGCGGACTTTACCCCTTCCCTGATGACCTCAATCTCACACACTTCCCTCTTGATACAATTCTTGCCCTCTTGTGGTCGACGTGCGACGTGCCTCGAGGTGAAGCCCCGTGACTCCGGTGACTCCGCTGTGGTCATGAGATAACCCTCCTCCATGCCCTCCTACTTCCTCCAAGATTGTCATTATTTCAAACGCAGCGCCTTGCGCCTCTTATCCATTCCTACCTTCCTGGCGTGTCGCTACGCCTAGTTGATCAGACCCACGATCGGAAGAACTCAACCTGCTGACATCATGTCTTACTCGTCTGTTGCAGTGCGTTATTTCACAGCTCCCAAGCCGCTAGGGAAAGCCATGGAGCCTGCTCGATCCCAACCGTCTTCAACGCCCTTGACAGTGAATGGGTCGGCCAAACAGGGATTAACGTTTGCCAACCAAGACTCCCTCCCCAAGCTGCCTATTCCCGAGCTGGAGCAGACTTGCCAGAAGTATCTCGAAGCCTTGGCCCCGTTGCAGGCACCTAGGGAGCAAGACGAGACGAAAGCAGCTGTCCAAGACTTCCTCCGGTCAGAAGGACCCGTTCTTCAGGAGAAGCTCAAGAACTATGCTTCATCAAAGACAAGTTACATAGAGCAATTCTGTATGTTGTCACTCATTGTGATTGGGTTTTTTTGGCTGACGCTCGTTCAGGGTACGATTCATACTTGAATTATGATAGCCGTAAGATACCTTTTCCATCAGAACATCAAGAGGAAGCGAGGCTGACCCACTACTAGCTGTTGTTCTGAACCTCAACCCTTTCTTTCTGCTGGAAGATGACCCCACCCCTGCGAGAAACAACCAAGTGACGCGGGCAGCTTCGCTTGTCGTCTCTGCTCTGTCCTTCGTCCGAGCCGTCAGGCGGGAGGAGCTGCCCCCAGACACTGTCCGAGGTACTCCTTTGTGCATGTATCAGTACTCTCGTTTGTTCGGAACAGCGCGCGTGCCCACCGATAATGGATGTGTCATCAGTCAAGATCCTCATGCAAAGCATATTGTTGTCATGTGTCGTGGCCAGTTTTACTGGTTCGATGCCCTGGATGAGAACAATGACCTGATCATGAACGAGAAGGATATCGCTGTCAACCTTCAGGTCATCATCGGCGATGCGGAGCAGACTCCTATCCAGGACGCTGCGAAGGGGGCCCTTGGTGTGCTGAGTACCGAGAATCGTAAGGTCTGGTCGGGTCTGAGGGATATTCTCACCAAGGACGAAGGCTCAAACAACGCGGAGTGTCTGAACATTGTCGATACCGCGCTCTTTGTTCTCTGCCTGGACTACACGGAACCACACAACACCTCCGAGCTTTGCGCGAACATGCTCTGCGGAACAAGTGAGGTCATTAGAGGGGTCCAAGTTGGCACATGTACGAACCGTTGGTATGACAAACTGCAAATTATCGTTTGTAAGAACGGTAGCGCGGGCATCAACTTTGAGCATACCGGCGTTGACGGACACACGGTGCTTCGATTTGCCAGCGATGTTTACACTGACACAATTCTCCGCTTCGCCCGCACCATCAACGGCCAAGCACCTAGCCTGTGGGCAACATCGAGCCCGGATCCTGCTAAGCGTGACCCTCGGAGTTTTGGTAACGTCAGCACAACTCCGCGCAAGTTGGAGTGGGACATGGTACCCGAGCTCAGCATTGCCTTACGATTTGCAGAGTCGCACCTGTCTGATCTCCTTAAACAGCATGAGTTCCAAGTGCTGGACTTTACTGGATTTGGCAAGAATTTTATCACCTCCATGGGGTTCTCACCCGATGCGTTTGTACAGATGGCGTTCCAGGCAGCATACTACGGGCTTTATGGGCGACTGGAGAATACCTACGAGCCAGCCATGACCAAGTCCTTCCTGCACGGCCGAACAGAGGCCATTCGGACGGTTACCAGCGAATGTGCTGATTTTGTCACAACCTTCTGGGGGGAGAACCCGGCGGAGCAGAAGGTGAATGCGCTTCGGAAAGCAACAGAGAAACACACGGCCATTACGAAGGAATGCTCTAAGGGTCAGGGACAAGACCGACACCTCTACGCACTGTACTGTCTCTGGCAGCGATCCTTTGATGACGGGGCGTCGTCGGCCAGTAACAGTGTCTCAGAAGGCACCAATGGCTATACCAGCCCTGTAGATGGCGAGTCGATCTCATCGCCGAAATCTTCTGGCCCGATGTCAGAAGATGGGCTTTCGTCGACCGGCTACAGCATTCGTGGCGTGCGCACCATGCCGGCCATCTTCAGTGATGCTGGTTGGGACAAGATCAACACCACGGTGCTGTCGACTTCAAACTGCGGGAACCCGTGCTTACGCCATTTCGGATTCGGACCGACTTCCGCGGATGGCTTCGGAATTGGCTACATAATCAAGGATGACACGATCTCGTTCTGTGCCTCCTCAAAGCATCGCCAGACCCAACGATTGATGTACACACTGGAGTCTTATCTGCTCGAAATCCGGAAGCTGCTGCGTGCCATCAACCAGCGACCGGCGAGTCCGCGCACAAGCCGGGCCCGCGAGATGGAGATGATCGCCGAGCGGCTCCAGAGTGATCACCGCCGGGGCCGGATCGTCCGGAGCGACGCGAGCCATCGGGGAGCCGAGACGCCCACAACGGACAGCGGAGAAATAGAGGATGATGGCATGGGCGGATGTAAGTTCTTTCCTCCCTTGTGTTTTGAGTGATCAAAATAGGCAGTTGCTAACAGGAGACCTATCAGATGGGTTCTTCGATGCCGGGATGTTGCTTCATGCACTGAAGGGGATCAATGCAGACCGGGAGCGTGGCACGGACAAGCCGGAGAAACGGCGATTTGTCGGAAAGAAGCTGCGGCTGAATGACTATTGATTATGCCTTGTGCGCTTCTTCCTACATTTTTATTTACATTCTTAGTCGGTTAGCCTTGGATTGGTGTTGGGTGTATATCCTTATGTTATATTATATTTAGTTGATACCAATTCTATATCAATTACTGATAAACTGAGGAGCAGAATTCTCTTTCATCTCGCTGTTTGTAAGTTAAGGTGAGAATTGCAGCACATTGTTTTGTAAGCACTTTATCCAGGGGTTGAGTGTTTATGGATGATGTTTACTATGGCCAGAGCCGAGCTAGTATAGCAAGTAATCATGCCATACTGCATATCCTACTACTGCTGAATCGGTACTCCGTATATCCGAGTACAATTCATCTCAACCCGCAAATGACATAAACACTACTTCGTACGACCTTGGTACTTTCGCCCCCCAGTGTATATCTACATATCTACAGAGTACTCATTTAACGTTGAGTTTCCATTTCTGCCCAACGCACGTTAAATGCATGCATGCAGCCAAGTTTGTATGTATTGTCGTTCGTCAGTCAGTCAGTCAGGGTCTGTGTGTTAGGATGGGTGGGTGGGAGGGGGCAAGGTTTTAAGCCATGTTCAGAGGGAGGGGAGGATGATCGACTGCTCCTCCATTTGTGAAACGGTATTAATGGGTACTAGTGGTTAGCTAGTAATGTATGTATATTGTGTTGGAAAAGCTCAGGGGAGGTGACGCTCCTTCGGGGGTTGGGGGTGAGTCAACTCAGTGGAAGTTCAAAGTGATGGATGCGGATTGCTGCAGTCATCCCGTTTGGGAAGGAGGGCAGGGACGCGGCGCCGCGGGGGGCCTGGGGCCTCAGGCTGCTACTCGGGGGTTTGGTTCGGCCGGTTAGGTCAGGTTTTCAGGTTCATTCCTTGATGGTGTTCTGATGGGTATGGGTTTATTGGTCCTGCTTATGTACTGTCTTGGTGTATCGGGGCTTTGTAGGTGTTGTGGTTAATTAGGTCGGATAAACAGGAGTTTGTCAGGTGTATACATACTATGGAGGGATTGGGGGGTTATGTCACAATATTGTGCTTATGGTGCAAGGTGCAGCGCAGCGGGTTGGTCATTGAGAGCTGCACGGATTCGCGGTGGAATGTTCTCTTGGCCTGTGGCTTTATCTTGCATATTACTGGAAAGTATAGTATCCTGGTAAGTGAGGTAAGGTAGTCAGTTATCTTGAGATGTCATGCCTGTCAGTGTGTTGGTTGGGTTGGCTTGGGGGGAGGATCTTGTGTGTTGTTGGTGTTGTGTGGTTACTATGTTGTAGTTATACTCGGGTTCTAGATAGAGTGTCTGACTGGAAGTTGAGAGTAGATTTGAAGAGAACCCAAGAAAGAGTGTGTGGTTCTAGCTCCAGCTAGCTACCTGATTGAAGGCAATCTGCTCCATTGTTGGACCTCATAACACTGAGTTGGTTATTGCCTCTATCTACCTGGACTCCATGCAGGCACTATACTCCTATCTCTTCCAAACAGTGAGGGGTCCTAGCGGCTATCGCCGCCGATGCCTCGACGGCCGCCGCCTTATGCATGCATGCACTGATGCAGGTGTTTCCTCGGATGACCTCAGTGGCCAATGAGAAAATCTCAACCCCGTGCCATGTTGAGCTGGTCAATGGGTAAGTGGTTTTGCCATGCAGTCAGTTATCCTAGCCGAAATGAATATCGCCGAGCGGATCTGATTCATGGGTTAAATGCATATCATGAGTGCGTGGACTTATAGACCCGACCACAGGATAACGACAGTATATGTACGGAGTACAAAGAGTTTCTGGAACGAAGAGAATATACTACAGAGTACTAACAAAGGGCAGTAGAACCGCTTTACCCACCGGCTAAATGAAGCAGCTCCTCCCCCAATGGCGCTCAGGACTGGTGAGGTCATCCCGATCAGACCCTTCATTGATTTGTTACCACCGCCTAGGCATACGAACAATCAATGTATGTATGATGATCATGATGCTGATGATGCTGATAGCCGTCTTGGAATTGTCCTTGCCCAATGCCGAGGTTACCCGCCGGTCAGGTCGACATGATTTCCGGACTTTGTTCTTCAATTGCTGCGCGCACACGCCTTGCAGAGTACTTGTACAGTACGTAGTATATGTACCTAGCAAGTTAAGTTACAGCGTGCTCATGTCTACCGCGTGGTGTCGTAGCCTGCGTCCCACCGCCTACCGTACGCCCGTTTCAGCTCACCCAGTCATGTGCCCCACGTGACTTCATGCAGCAAACCAGTCAAACCACTGCCTCGGATTTGCTGGAAACTACCTAATAATCAACAGCTTTGAGACTGACTGACTTTGTCCATGCTACGCACGACTACCTACAATACACTGATGAGCAGAGACGATCTCCCTTCAGTCCTCTGTCTTATGCGTCTGTTTTGTCTTTCATTTCTTCAATAATCAGTAAGTGAAGCAATCTCCTTTCTACCTACCTACCCTTTCTTGCACTTTCCGACACCGGACATCCCGTGCTGCGTGCTGCGTGCTGCGATCTGCTCGCGGCAAAGCAGCCAGGCAAAAGAAATCTCCCCCTGCGACTGGCCACGCATACGGTACTTTACTGCTCCGAGTATCGCGTCGGTGCCTTAACCCGTTCTTGCTCTCAGGCGCTCAGGCTGCTCAGCTTTCTTACTCGTCCCATTCCATCATCGTCTTCCCAAAGCCCCCCCCCCCCCAAAAAAAGGTCAGGCCATCGTGCTCTGGCCGGCTCCACTCATCATCGTCCTCCTTCCACACGCCCCTTCTTGATTGACCCTTCCGACCTGGGCGCTGCGTCTCTGGCATTGGCTCTGCTTGCCTGACCCCCCCCTGCCTTTTGCCTTTTTCCCTCCTGCTGGTTGCTAGTCTACACTTTGCTACGAGTAGTCTGGTAGTGGCTCCATTCCTCCTCGCGCTAGCTCAAACCCATTCCTCTCTTTCTGCACCGCTGTTGAACTAGCGCCATCGTTACTCCTGCTGCTTGGTCCTGCAACACACCCACGGCAAATCTGCTCCCTCCGTTCCCTGAGCCCTCATATTGGAGGAGGGGCCTGCGTTGCGTGCTGGTCTGCTGCTACAGCCTACCGCTGTCGATACCGATCTCATCATCATTCACTGTTCCACCCGGTCCCTATCTTTATCTGACTCCTTCCCGGTGTTTCTTGCGCTTCGCATGATCTCGGAATCTTTTGCAATTTGTCCCAACTGAGCTTGGATCATCCTAGCCGGGCACTTCATCTTCAATTCACTCTTCCTCCCATTCACCCATACTTTTCCCCGACTTACCTCTTCCATCTCTCACTATTATCAAACCACCCATATAAACCTTTTTTGGGTGTTCTTTTGTCCAAAGCACTACCGTCGCGATATTAACCGGCTTCCGCAGTACAGCACCTGCTGAAAGTTACCTCCTCTACGTCACGCTTACTCCCCCGACCGCTGGGAATCCCTATCCTGCCGTCGATCAGCGGTCGCTTCTTCCGACGACGGCACCCCAATCGATCTCTCCGACCAATTCTCCCCCCTTTCGTTTCTCTCATCTTGAGATGATGGCGGCAGCGCTTGATCAACCCCTCTTCGAGTCGATCGCGGGCGGTCCGGCGACCCATGCGGCTTCAATCACTCCGCCGCAAAGCGCCAACGGCAAGAAGGAGGCCCCCGAGGGCGTGCCTTCGGAGCTATCGGACCTTGAACTCGACCACAATGTCCCCGGCGCTCAGGAGGAGATACCCTCGGTGGAAGCCGACGACGAAGTGATTGAGCCAGATCACTACTATGGTGGTGGCAAGGTTCCCGTCTTCAAGCCGGTGAGTCGCCTGGTCTCCCGCTGACGGAGTTTGATCGTCTACCTTCTGCATCGGACGCTTGGGCTAACTGGAAACTTGCTAGACCATGGATCAGTTCCGGGACTTTCAGTCGTTCATCAACAAAATCGAGGAGTATGGCATGCGATCGGGTATTATCAAGATCATCCCCCCGAAGGAGTGGTAAGTGTGTCCCCAGTCAATCCTACGAAAAGTAGCGCTCATCGGTCGTCTCAAAAGGTCCGATGCCCTTCCGCCGCTTGACGAAGCCGTGAAGAAGATTCGCGTGAAGAATCCGATCATGCAGGAGTTCCACGGTTCGCACGGGACATACACACAGGCCAACATCGAGAGACAGCGATCATACAATCTGCCCCAGTGGAAAGGATTGTGTGAAGAAAGCAGTCACCAGCCTCCCGCACGCAGAGGTGAGCGACGCCGGAATCAGGAGCGGGTGAATCGCGCCCATCCTGCGCCTCGAAACCAGACGCCTCGAGCAGACTCGCAGAAACGTCGTCCAGGTCCGGGCCGCCCGCCCAAACGGTCCAACCAGGTTAAGGTCAAGGAGGAGCCTCCTGCCGAGGAAGGCCTCGACAAGATCAAGCCGGAAGGTCCTCCGACCCCTGTCTCCCCGGAATCAAATCCAGTGGAGACGAAGACGGAGGAGTTGAGCGACGGTGAATCCCTACCCGGCCCGAAGCCCAAGGGTCGGCAGCCCAAGTCAGTTACTGCGCGCCGAAAACACAACAAGGGCGGTGATGCAGTCGACTACGTGGACGAGGAGGCCTTTAAAGACTTCGATTATCGCATTCATGACAGCGAAGAGTACACGGCAGAACGATGCGAGGAGCTAGAAACCGCTTACTGGAAGTCCTTGATGTTCAACAACCCGCTGTACGGCGCTGATATGCCTGGCTCCCTCTTCGATGACAATATCACGACTTCGTGGAACGTCGCCCGGTTACCGAATTTGTTGGACGTGCTCGGGCAGAAAGTGCCGGGTGTTAATACTGCATATCTCTATCTGGGTATGTGGAAAGCGACTTTCGCCTGGCACCTGGAGGACATGGATCTGTACAGCATCAACTATATCCATTTCGGAGCTCCGAAGCAATGGTACAGCATTTCTCAGGAGGATGCTCCTCGGTTCGAACAGGCCATGAAGAGTAAGATAACAAGCCAACTACGGTGGCCTTCCAGTGCTAATTCTAGATCAAGGTATATGGCAAAGTGATGCCAAGAGCTGCGACCAATTCCTCCGCCACAAAACTTACCTTGTCTCGCCTAGTCTATTAAAGTCACAGTATGGCATCACAGTCAACAGACTGGTGCATTACGAGGGCGAATTCGTCATCACTTATCCATATGGCTACCACTCTGGCTACAATTTGGGTTACAACTGTGCCGAATCCGTTAATTTCGCCACGGAAAAGTGGTTGGACTATGGGCGGGTGGCCAAGAAGTGCCACTGCGAAGCTGACAGTGTCTGGATTGATGTTGACGAGATTGAACGAAAGCTTCGCGGGGAGGCAACTCCTGAATATTACGGAGAATACGACAGCGACCTGGATGCGATGGAAGGCGTGTCGGATCTACTGACACCGCCTCGCAGTGTTCCCGAGAAGACATCTACTCGGGGGCGCAAGCGGAAGCAGGACGGCGAAACCACCAAGGCAAAACGTATGCGTATGAGTATGGATGTTCCGCGGAAAATCCCCTGCGTTTTGTGTCCCAACAATCTCGACTACGAAGATCTCTTACCAACCGAGGATGGCAAGGCACACGCCCATCGGCGTTGTGCTCTGTATACAGAGGAGACAACGATTCTTCGGGACGAGAGTGGACGGGAGGTGGTGTGCGATGTGGATAAAGTCCCCAAGGCTCGCATGGGCCTCAAGTGCCTTTTTTGCCGCGAGGTGCGCGGTGCTTGCTTCCAATGCAATTTCGGCAAATGTACCCGTTCCTACCATGCCACTTGTGCGCTTCTGGCTGGTGTGCAAGTGGAGGAAGGTGTGATCGCCGTGATCGCCGACGATGGCGAGCAGTATTCGATCCCTAGCGTGGACCTTAAATGCAAGTACCACCGCCAAAAGAAACCGTCGTGGATGGGCAACGGCGATTCGCTCGATTACGACCGCAAACTCATGCAAACCGCACGGCGTTTGGTGGCTGGGGAGCTAGTGCAGTTCCAGGCGGACAAGGAAATCAATGGGGCGGTGGTGCTTGAGAACCGACCTGAGGAACGAATGTTGCTGGTCAAGGTGCTTCCTAGAGGGTAAGACAGCATCCTTCTCTCCTCCCCCCGCTTGTTTGGAAACTACCCGATTGGTGATATCACGACGATGATGCAGTGATGGGAATGTCTGACGGACTGTTTGATTGATTGACTAACTGACTGATGTGACCGACGCACAGGGACGTAATTGAATTACCATACCGCTGGATGCTCGTGGTTCGACGGAGTAATTTCTCACCGCTGGCACCAGGAACCAAGCCTCTTCCTGCCCACTTGGCTCGGAAGCCCGAGAGCCGGAAAGAGTTGGAGTCAGCCGTGCCGGTGGCAGGAAATCCGTTTGGTGATGGAGACTCCCCGTATCAGTGGGCCGAATTCGAGACGGTGGACAGCACTAGTTACCACATTGCCCCACCATCGGCGCCCATCAACCTCATGCAGGGCGAGAAGATCTGGTATTATCTGGGCGAATCGTCCACTGAATGTAGGGCTCAGTATACGCACAACCCTACTGTGCCTGTCCACAACCAGCGGGCGAATTTCCTGGACAGCGTTAAGTCCCTTGGCGCTGTGATGGCCCGGGTCCCCTCTTACCAACCCCACCATCGTCTCCCTGCCACGACTCCGTATGCCCCTCACTTTGCTGGCGTTCCTCCTCACCACCAACACCTTCTGTCGCTTCCCACCGCCTCTGCTGTCGGTGCTGCTGCTGCTGCTGTTGCTGCTGCTCCTGCCGCTGCCGCCAACAACACTACGCATACTCACACTACCGCTGCCGCAGCTGCCGCCGCCGCCGTCGCTGCTGCTGCTGCTCCCCGCCCTTCATTGCTGCAGCATTCTTCTCTTGCCCCTCCACGCCCTGCGCTTTCTGCTGCTGCTGCTGCTGCTCCTCCTCCTCCGCCTCCTGCTGCGATGCCGTCTGCTTACCGTACCCTGCCAACGCAATCTGCCCGTCATGCCCCGTACCCGCACGTCACCAAGTCGCATTTGCAGCCTCATGCTCGTCAACACTCCCAGACTCATCCCAC